TTCTTTTTTTCAGTATAAAATACTCTTTTCTGGTCCCTACATCTGGAGGGCAGTATAATAAACTACTGAGTATTCAGAGTCAAAAAACTGATTTTCTGGCCTTGGCAGAGTCCCAGGTTTTCAATGTTGCTTGACTTTCTCTAGGTTTCAGTTTCCTCAATTGAAATGAGGGCTGTCTCAGGTGATTCCATTTTAAATCTTAAAATCTATGCAACTCTATTTATTCTTTAAGACCACCTCTCCCATAAAACTTTCCCCACTGCTTGTGTTAATCTCTTCCTACTCTGAACTTCTTTAAACTTTATTGTTTATATTAAAATTTAATTTACCACTTATAGTGGAATCACATTATTGTCTCTATTAGTTCAAGTATTTCAGTATGTAGGGGTACTGGAAGAAAAGCTATGACAAACCTAGAGAGCATATTAAAAAGCAGAAACATTACTTTGCCAACAAAGGTCTGTATAGTCAAAGCTATGTTTTTTCCAGTAGTCAGGTATGGATGTGAGTGTTGAACCATAAAGAATGCTGAGTGCAAAGAATTGATGCTTTTGAACTGTGGTGTTGGAGAAGACTCTTGAGAGTCCCTTGGACTGCAAGGAGATCAAACCAGTCCATCCTAAAGGAAATCAGTCCTGGGTGTTCATTGGAAGGACTGATGCTAAAGCTGAAACTCCAGTACTTTGGCCACCTGATGTGAAGAGCTGACTCATTTGAAAAGACCCTGATGCTGGGAAAGATTGAAGGTGGGAGGAGAAGGGGACGACAGAGAATGAGATGGTTGGATGGCATCACTGACTCAATGGACATGAGTTTCAGCAAGCTCCAGGAGTTGGTGAAGGACAGGGAAGCCTGGCGTGCTGCAGTCCATGGGGTCTCAGAGCCCAACATGACTGAGCAACTGAACAACAACAAAAGGGGTGATGTAGGTGTTTTTCTAGTTTCAAAACATATTTTTCCTCCTTCAAGCACTCTCATTCTTTTGAAGCTCATGCCATCAGACTATTTTATTATTAGTAACACCTATGACATCTCCAAGTAGTTGTCAATCACTGACTATCTCAAACATTCCCTTGATTCACTGCAGTTCCAACACCTTAGTCAGTCTTCCCCTTCATCTCTCTTGGTGACATCCCCAGATAACTCTGTCCTCTCTGATTTTTCCATCACCCTGTTTCTTCATCTTTTCCTCTTTTCTACCTCAGAAACTCCCATGGTCATATCTTTGCCCTTGCCAACACCATTTTACCACTTTCCAAACCTCTGTTTTAAGCTTCCCTCTCTAGATCACCATCCTCCTACTCTTAGCTTATTACTCTATCATATCTGCCAAGCAATTATTTGACCTCCTGAGAGCTCCAGTCAACAGACACTGTCACTTTAAACAATAAGTCACACCTTCTTGCTTTGCTTTCCTGTTTCTCTGGAATGGGTTTTCTATGCTCTCATTACATCCACTCCTTTGACATCACACTGGTTCACCTTCCCGATACCAAACCACAACCCACCCACCCATGTACCTGTATTCTTTCTCCTCTCTCCTGCCACTGTGGATGAGGTGACCCTACTCATATCCAAGGTAAACTCTGCCATTCAGTTCAGTTTAGTTCAGTTCAGTCACCCTGTCATGTCCGACTCTTTGTGACCACATGGACTGCAGCACGCCAGGCCTCCCTGTCCATCGCCAACCCCTGGAGCTTACTCAAACTCATGTCCATTGAGTCAGTGATGCCATCCAACCATCTCATCCTCTGTCGTCCTCTTCTCCTCCCGCCTTCAATCTTTCCCAGCATCAGGGTCTCTTCCAATGAGTCAACTCTTTGCATGTGGTGGCCAAAGTATTGGAGTTTCAGCTTCAGCATCAGTCCTTCCAATGAACACCCAGGACTGATTTCCTTTAGGATGGACTGGTTTGATCTCCTTGCAGTCCAAGGGACTCTCAAGAGTCTTCTCCAACACCACAGTTCAAAAGCATCAATTCTTTGGTGCTTAGCTTTCTTTATAGTCCAACTCTCATATCCATATGTGACTACTGGAAAAACCATAGCTTTGACTCAGGGTCTGCCCCTAAGATCATGGTCTCTCACCTTTTTTAACACTTTGCTGTCCTGCAATTATGTTCCTTTCTCCTGCATCACAAGTTCTCTCTTGACGTAGAATTATCATCATTTAGCAAATCAATACGTTCTACTAGTATGTCTAATTAAAACAAATTTTTATTGGCTGTGCTGGGTCTTAGTTGCAGCACACAGAATATTCACTACCACATATGGGATCTTTAGTTGAGGCAAGTAAACTCTTAGTTGTGGCATGTGAGATCTGGCTCCCTGACCAGGGTTCACACCTGAGACCGCTGCACTGGGAACATGGAGTCTTAGCCACTGGACCACCAGGGAAGTCCCTACTATGTCTAATTTAAAACAAAACCAAAAACCTCTCACTTAGTAACACCCCTCCCTCTACCTGCAGTCTTTCTTCTTTATTTTTTCAACAAAACTCTTGGTTACAGCTATCCATTCCTGCTGCTGCTGTTGATTCCTCCTTATTCATTCTATACATAGTGGCTCCAGTTGACTTTGGTCTTCTCTGTGCCTTGGGGTTGCTGTTGTCTAGATCACCAGTGATCATGATCATATCCAATTTCATGGTTATTTTTTATCTTACTCAACGTTTCAGGGGCATTTAATATATTCAAAACACTTAGTGATTTTCACACTCCCATTTTTCACCTATTTTGCTGACTTTTTCTTCTTAGTTGCCTTTACTGGCTCCTTCGCTGCCTGATTTTACATTCTCAAGTTTGCCATAGGGCAACGGTTGTCAACGCAAGATCCTGTATCAGTGACATCAGCATCACCTGGAAACTTGTTGTAACTACCAGTTCTCAGCCTCACAACTGGTCACATTAGTTAATCCAGGAATCCCCTTGATACTTCTTCTGTTTCAGCCCCATGTCCGATCAAGAAGCAAGCCCTGCTGGTTCTACCTCCGATACACACACACACACTGGGTATATTTCCAATTAATTTGCTTCTCACCGCCTCTGTCTTGAGCCCCTAGTCCAGGTCTCTGTCCACGATCACAAATATCCTCTGTTGCTTCCTCCCTGCTTCCATTTTCTCCAGTCCTCCCCTTTCCCTTCTCATGAGCCATTGTCCACACAGTTGCCAGAGGGATCTTATTAAAACATAAGCTTGTCATATAATGACCCTGATGCTCAAAACCTTCCGGTGGGGTTTGACTACAACTCCTCTTAGAATGATAGCTCAGTAAAGAATCCACCTGCAAAGCAGGAGACCCTGGTTTGATTTCTGGGTCAGGAAGACCCTCTGCGGAAGGGATAGGCTACCCACTCCAGTATTCCTGGGCTGCTCTTGTGGCTCAGCTGGTAAAGAATCCTCCTGCAATACGGGAGATCTGGGTTTGATCCCTGGGTTGGGAAAACCCCCTGGAGAAAGGAAAGGTGACCCACTCCAGTATTCTGGCCTGGTGAACTTCATGGACTGTATAGTCCATGGGGTCGCAAAGAGTCGGACATGACTGAGTCATTTTCCCTTTCACCTCTTAGAATAAAACTCAGAACTCCTCACGGGATCTTACTACTGCCCCTCTCTCTGACCTCATCTTCCTCTGATTGTTCCAGTGCCCATTTTCTTCCAGGTCCGTGCTTTCTTTTTATTTCTATTTCTTCTCCTCTAAGGGCCTTCATGTTTGCTGTTCCCACTACCTGGAATATTCCTCTCCCTCATTCTTTGCATGGCTGCCTCCCTCTTGCCTCTGTTGTCTCAGCTCAAATGTCCCTTCATAGGAGGGCCTTCTAACCCTCTGAGTGGTATCTCTCTCCTCAGATACTCACCATACGTTATACTGTTACATTATGTGACACCACTTAATACCATCTGAACTTATTTGTTTACTTATTGTCTAGGTCTGCTCATAGTATGTTCAGCTGCATAGGACGTTGGCTTCTTAATTGCTGTATTCCCATGCCTAAAACAGTGCCTGACATTCAGTAAGTGAAGTGAAAGTCACTCAGTCATGTTTGACTCTTTGCCAGTCCATGGACAGTGGCCTGCCAGTCTCCTCTGTCCATGGTATTCTCCAGGCAAGAATACTGGAGTGGGCTGCCATTCCTGTCTCCAGGGGGCAATGAGTAAGTCACCTCCTAAATGAACAAACCTCACAGGAGACATAAGATTAGAATCAGGAAAGCAAAAGGGCTTGCATAAAGAAAATCTCTTAGTTCTGACTCATAAATGAAACAAGATGTTGCTTCTGTAAGAGGTAACTAAGACCCATCAACGGATCCTCTCCTCATTTTGAAAATGGAACATGCCCACAGGAATCAGGGAGTGCAAATTTATCTAGACAATTTAAATTATCCTTCCTTCCTTTCCTTTCTCCTTCCCTCTCTTTCTCCCTTCCTTTCTTTCTTTCCCAATCATATTTAGTTCAGCTGGCTTCAGTTAAATCAGTGTAACATGACTCCACAGGAACTAGAAACTATTGTGTGGTATTCCACACTTGAGTTTCTGCTACCCCAATAAGATGACACGCTGTATAAGACAGATGTTTCTCTTCCAGCACCTGTAGGCCAAAGAAGTATTGAAATCATAGGTAAATCTAAGTCCAACTACCAAGCCACTCATGGCTCAACGAAGCTACTGGGTTCCTGACTTTCAGTCAATTACACAAACTCTTAGAACCATGAGGCATAAAATAATAAATGAATCAAAATAAATTGGAGAAATAAAATAATGAATCTCAAAAATGTGTCATTTCTTTCCTTCAGTCTGGGACTTGTAGTCATTCTCAAAATATTTTTTGAGATACTCTGATGTGCTTAGAAGTCTTACAAAGTCCTGCAGGTTCACAATCCATGACACACTAGGATTTTTTCTGTAACTGCCAACCATGCCCTGAGGGCCATCTCCTGTACTCCAAAAAGACATGATGTTCAGTTTTGAGAAGCAATGAGATAAAGCAATAGACTGTCATACCTTTGGTAGTTACTGTTAAGTTTTCAGTTTGCTTTTGGCTAGCAGGTTCCTTGGTATCCTCAAGGTTCTCTGATTTTGAAACACTAAATATATCTGAGGATTCCTGTTTTGACACTTTATTTTTCTGGGAATCTGAAATAAAAAACCCAAACAAATAATTTAAAGTGATATTTTGGACAATGATACAATGACTACTAATGTGTGTATTACAATGAACAAAGTGCTTTCCCCCCAACCTCTTTAGAGAGTAAATGGAAGCAAGCCATTAAGAGCCAGGATTTTTCATTATATGATACAATGTTTGCCATTAACAAACAGGACAGTATCTGTAAGACTCACTCCCAAGGAGCTAGCTGGTTCTTTCTGGGCCTTATGACCAGAGAGCAGTTGTTATCTTGGGTTATGAAACAGAGACCAGGTAATTTAACCTACTTTTACGTGGCAAGAGTAACTGAATTGTCATTTCTTTTTTTAAAAAATTTCCAATCTTAAGTCCATTTATTACTCTGAAAATGTAGCTCTGTATTAAAATGTGCTCTAAGACATCAGTGCAATATGAAACAAATTTTAAATATATACATTTCAAGGACTGAGGATGCAAATACATTTCAACTTATGTGTGTGCCAACCCTAGTTAAATGGTGGCAACTGCCTGAAGGACCATGCTGAAAAAGATTGTGGCCTTGGCCCCCTTTCAATGGAAAGATAGGCTTGACTGGTTGGTGTCATCTGCCCAGGGTGCCTTTATCCCTGACTGGGCTCCATCACATCTATGAGTCCTTGTTCCAGCCTTAATCTTTGCTTTGCAAATGCTGCAGTAATTAGATATTTTCCTTGGCTGTCCTCATTCCAGGCAGCTGAGCTCATGGTATTGCATTGTACAGCAGAAGATCCCTCTGTTTGGTGATTTTAACAACCCAGTTTATTCAAGAGAAGAACTAAATTTCATTTCATCCCTAAATTCTTCAACATGTATCTCCTGAAATGAAGACATGTCCACTACATGTTTACAACACCATCACCATACCCAAGAAAGCTTACAGTAATCCCACAATACCCTTTCATACAGTCCCTAAATCAGACTCAACTAATTGCTCCAAAATATCTTCCATAGCTGTTTCTTTCTCAATCCAGCATCTAATATGTATGTATTACAGGCAGTTTTCAGGTCTCCTTTGTCTTTTAATATAGAACAATCACCTCATCTTTTAACAGTTTTAAAATGACATTGACTTCTTTGAAGAGTTCGTCAGTTGTCTTATAAAATGTCTACATTCTGGATTTCTTGGCTTTTTTCCTTTTGATGAAATTCTGGTTAAAGATTTTTGGCAAGAATTCTACACAGGTCCTATGAACTCTGTATTGTGCTATATGAGAAAACACTTAATGCTAGGTGGTCTTGCAATTGGTAGTAGCTTGATCACCTGATTAAGGTTGAAATGCCATCTTTCTCCATTAATTCACCTTATAATTAGTAGGCAATATGCAAGGTGATATTTTGAGACCTCATAAATGCCCCATTCTTCTACAACCTTTCAATACTCCCATGATTTTTATATTTAGTCAGGTCTTCTTAATACTTTCAGGCAAATTTTAAGCATACCGGATGAAAACTAAATTTTATTTACAGCTTAGCTTCCTCATATAACTCAGCCAAACCTGTAATACACAGGTCACAGTGGGTTCTATCATTAGCTATTACTGAGACAAAAAGTGGTAGGAAACTGGCTATGTTCTACATGAACAGGAATAAGAGCTATGTGAACACACACCTGGAGGAAGACTGGATATATCTTGAGCAGCTTCTTTGCTTGCATCCTCGTCTTTCTTTGCAAAAGGAGGCAAGTTTTTGGAAAGGGTGTCCAGATAATTAAACTTAAGGAAAAACCAAAGACTTATTTTAGACTTAACTCATGGCTGAAAGGCAACTGCTACAAGCACACTGAGTTGGTGAGCGGTGATTAAAGCATGTTTTTTAAGGCCCTGGGAAAAAGGTTTGTAAACTACAAGTTTTTCAAGAGAGTAACTTAATTCTAGATTTTGTTCCCCATGATTTCCCATATTTTCTTGTCAGGCCACCTGTGGTAAATGATAGCATTTGGAATTTTCACAGAAGCACAGGGAGTTCTGAGCAGATGACAATACTCCTTTTGCTTTAGAGTTTCAAGATTTCATAGAAGAGGTGAGGCATATTCTCCTTCCACAGACTTCCCAGAACTCATAATCTCCTAGTGTTGCCTCAGCAGCTGATGAGTGAGGACATTTTAATAGAATAAAAATTTCAAAATGGGATTTATCGGAGAGTAATCATCAATAGGGAGAATTCAGTCCCCCAAAATGGCTTAAAATAGAGGTGGGAGAATGTAATTAATAGTGCTAATACAAGGCAGGGAGGTGGAGCTATAGTAATACATTGGCAAAGAACTTCCTGCTCATATGCTTGTGAAAACATGGACTTGAAGAGTATGGGCTAGTCAGTTGGGTTGATGGTTGAAGCAGGGAAGAAACAGAATCACGAGAGGTAGGTTAAATTAACAGCATAGGCGTTGTATCAATTCTTATGAGGACTCATTCAATTACATTCAATTACCTGAGACTGATAAAGCTGGCTCAGTTCAGATTTGAAGTAGGGCGATATTACTTTGCTCCTAATTTCCTTTAGATAGTTCTGTGTTTTTTCAATTTCCTTCCTGGTAGATATTTCCGTAATGATGCAAAAGATGACAAAGAATATTTTAAAATGTTATTTGCTTGTGTTTCAGCTGTAAATCCCACAGAAAATGCAGATCCCTAACAGTAAAACTGATAAGAATTAACTCAGGCATTTTTTTTTTTTCTGTCAAATTGTTTTAGTTCATTTTCTGCTTCTTCTAGAATCAGTCACATTTCCTACATTGGAAATTAGACTTTCAAGTAAGCTAGGAAATGATGACAGCAGCTTGTAGTTTGGTTTTACAGTTGATCTCAGAAGGCTACAAACCACATGTTGACCTTTTTGCCTGTCTTTCCAGTTCTCTGAAGTTTAATTGATAGTTAAATTCTACTGATTTCCAAAATTTCAGTAGCAGTGGTAATATACACAGAAACTTGGGGAATGAATGGCTTATGAATAATAAGATTAATGATCACAAAGTAAAATAAAAACAATCACAATAATCCTGCTGGCCATCTTTCCAATACTAGAACCTGTATTGGGGGGAAGGGAATGGTCTAACTAAAAAAGCTAAAAAGTATACTTCCCAGCCTTCCTTAAATATACAGATAGCCAGTAAGATGCAAACTGAAGTCTCTGGGTAGGACTTCAGAAAGCTTTCAGAGAGGTCTCAGTTGGAAGGTTTTCCCTTTGTCCTTGCCTCAACTCTTCTCCTACTATTTAGAATATGAATGAAATGGCTATAGTTGCAGCAGTCATCTTGCAACTGTGAAGCAAACTTGAGGATGGAAATCATGTGCCAAGAATAATGAAACAGAAAAAAGAAAAGAATCTTAGTTCCTGATGGTATTGTGGCACTGCTTGCCAGGGATTACCCACCTCTGACTTCTTTTACCTTAGGAAAAATAAACTTCTTTCTTGTAAGAGTACAGATTGGGTGGTTATTTGTAAATGTAGCTGAACCTAACCCCATCTGAAATAATTTTCATTTTTCAGAGCTTATTGCATGCCAGGAAAACTTTGCAAAGTACTTTACATTTACATTTTATTTGTCAAAAAAATCAAGGCATATAGAAAGAAGTTAAATGTGCATGTAAGTTTTAGCTGCTAGGTTGTATCTAACTTTTATTGCAACCCCATGCACTGTTGTCTGCCAGGCTCCTCTGTCCATGGAATTTCCCAGGCAAGAATACTGGAGTGCTGCCATTTCCTTCTCTATGGAATCTTCCCAACCCAGGGATAGAACCCAGGTCTCCTGTACTGTAGGCAGATTCTTTATCACTGACCCATCAGGGAAGCCTGCATAGAAGTTAAGTAACCTACCCTAAATCATGTCACCAGTAAGAGGTGAAGTCTGAATTAAAACCCAGGGGGTATGCCATTAAGCCAGTGATCTTGATTAGTGCCCATGCAAGTCAGCTGTTAGTGAACTAACAGAAGTCTTAGACAATAGGCAGTCTAATCATCCTCATTTTATAGATAAGCAAATTGAAATCCTGAAGTCAATTTTACTGAAGTAAAACAGCCAGCTGACATCATACAGTCTGCAGATAATCAAATGGAAGACCTTAGTCCAGATAATCAAATGGAAGGTCTGATTCTAGGTCTGCTGCCTTTAAGACTAGTGCTTTTTCTCTTATACTAGATGGCCTCTCTAGAAATACTGGCTGAATGGAAATTGTCTTGAATTTCTCTTTAAATCTCTACTGCCTCAATGGATTCATTCATCAATCTATGGCAGTCTAGCTACTGCTTACCACTCTCTTAAAACTGTTCTCACAAAAGAAATCAATAAACCTTCCAACTGATAAGCCCCAATTCCTCTTTTCATTTTCCTTTCCAATTCTTCCACAGCATCTGTCATTTGTTGACCACCTCCTATATCCTGGAAACTTTCTCCTTCCTTCACCCTCATCTCCCATCCATTTTCCATGTTGTTAGCCCTTCTCTTTTCTAGGACACGTATCTAATTCCATGTTGCACATTCTTCAAAAACGTTTGTTGGCTTGCCATTACCTAGCTATGGGTTAAAATAAAAAGTGTTAAATATTTCAAAAAAATTTAAATGTGAATGGATAATGCATACACGTGTACATAAGTAGAAAAGACTACATAATGGAAAGGAAGTTCATCTTACACTGTCCCCTAACCTCTCAAACTCCTTCCCCACAGACTCTGTCACCAGGCTCTTGGAAATCCTTTCAGGGATATTCTATAGGACAGTATATATCTTCTAGTTTTATAGGGGGGTGGCCCATGAGATCTAAGGTCTTATCTCACCACTTCTCCAACACATTCCACAACCCAGACATTTTTATTAAGAAGCATATTCATCCTGGGAGCCATTCTGGAGAGCAGCCATGCAAATGTGTACAATGGCACAATATGTACTACTGTATACCCAATACATATATCTGGCTTCCTTTATTTAGGACGAGAGGGCTGGGGTTTAAGACTGAAAGGCAACCAGCACGCATAGTGCTTAGAGCACATTTCTCATGTGCATTATAAGAACCCTTGCAAGTTTATGACTATGCTCTGCATTAAGTTCTAGAATATTTATCAATATAGTAGAATTACCAAAGCACAGGGAATACATGAGAGCTTTCTTGCTTATGACAGAGAGAGGATCTACCTAATGCTCAAATGGGTTTCCTCAAAGGATTACAACATCATTGCACAAACAATGAAAGACCATTGGGCAGAAATGTGTTAGCAGAGATTTTAAGAACAGTGGGAGCCTGGATGGTAGGACCCTGCAAGCCATCCCATCCTAGAATTCCATGACTCCACAGAGCTGGGCCTTTCACACGCTCATGCAGACTTCAGGAGAGAATTACCTCTTTTCAGCTAACTTTTCTTTCCAGTGCTTTGTTGTCTCTGTGTGCCTGTATAAAAGGAAAGGAAAAATACCATGAAAAAGGGCAATGCTCTCAGCTTACAGACAATAGAAGAAAAACTACCCTTGCAGGATAAATTGTTGACAGCGTGGAAGATGAAAGGCTAAGAATTCCTAGATACTGTCACCCTCAGTATTATACTCTTATCTCCCCATTTCCTCCTCATTTCCATAGTACTGGTTGGAACACATTGTTGGATCAGCTTACCTCAATTTCTTTTCAAGGAAATCTGTCTCAAAGGTTTCTGGTGGACATTCTGTAGCATTAGCCAAAGACTGCTTAAATAAATCAGCTAGGTGGGCTGCAACTTTAAAAATAGATGGATTTAACTTTTATCCTCACTTCTTGACAGCACAACACACAACCAACACTCACTCATCTGAGATGTTTTCTAAGAGCCTATATTTAGCTTCTCAAGTGTTTACTAGAATTTCCATGGCCAAGTTATAATATCACAGGAAACGAGGTAGCTCTATGAAATATCCCTCTAGAAAACACACATCTTAGAATCAAAATGTAAAATGTGACAAACTCTTCATCTGTCCCACATCAACAGGGGAATCAGTGTTCTACCTGAGTTTCTTCACATCTGGAGCACCAAAACTCCCCCAACTTAAATATCTTACTGAATTTGTTTTTTTAAAAAGATATCTTAGGGTCTGAACCCAAGAATATGAATACAATATGATGGTTGTTTGATAATTTGGGCAGTGATTCTCAGAGGTTATTCCACAACATGGTCTCAGCAAGATGTTAACAGGAGATTAAAAAAAGAAAGGAAGGTTCCATATCCCATGGTTTTATGAGTTTAGGAAATACTGATTTATACAAGGTTAAATATGTTTCATTACTTTAGGACTTTTCTGAACCCTTAATTAGTTCATGTACCTTGTGGCTAAGAAAATAAGGCATTATGCAGCAGTATCCAAACTTATTTTATCATAAAACTAATTTTTCTCTGGGACCATGTCATAGACTAGTGCTTTAGGAAGTACTTTGGGAACCAATGACTTAGGATCACAACTATTAATGTGTCAGGGCAGCTGTAAATATGCAAGACTGTTGATTCCTGCATTTGTTTGTCTGTTTGAAAAATACATTTGGTTCATCCTTCACTAATGGGCAACTAGTGCATTTACCTGTTCACTGATTGTTCCCTCACACCAGAGGTTAAAAATTCAAATGCTACAATGTAGGGTTACCAGTGTAGGACATCTAGTCAAATTTGAATTTCAGAGACGCAATAACAGTTTTTTTTAGGATAAGCGTGCTCCTTGTTATTTTGGAACTTGCTCATAATAAAAACATATTTGTTGTTTCTCTGAAATTCAAATTTGACTGGGTCTTCTGTATTTTTATTTGTTAAATCTGACAACCCTAATGTAAGAGGCCACTGACAAAAAGAGCGACAACAGACTGTAAGGACCAGGAGACATTGGGGGTTTTGGTGGATTCTTTTGTCCATGGCAGTCCTGGAGGGACAGCTGCTAATCATCTTCAACTACATATCACTGTATGGTAGAGGAAGACTCAGATATATGAAACAACAAACACAACTGTACAAGCCAACACCATGCAGGACACGCAAAACACATCTGTGGGCTGAATGGAGCCCATGGCTGCCGGTTTCTGACTTTTGTCATACAGTCAAAAGAGAAAAGAAAACCCCAAACCACAAAAATTCTCCACTGCTTATCTCCTATGAACTATGAAACTAAATAACCGAGTTCGCTGGGGCTGTATATAGCCCCAAATAAATTGCTTTCCAAAAGTAGACTGCTTGGGCTACATGTAGTGTAGAGCCCGGCAAGGTTTTTGTTATACCTACGTAGTTGCTCCGAAGTTTTGTGTATGTGTCTGTGTGTGTTAGGGGTAGAGTGTTATTTGGTTGACTGCTTCCTTCCTGGATGTTTGCTATGTTCTAAATACAAGTTGAGACTAACTTAAAAGTCAAATGTCAACATTTTTCACTCAACATGTGATAAAAATGAATTTGAGGCAATCATGGTTTTCACACTCTCACAATTTAGACAGGAAAGCATATAAACAAGTCATTACAATACAACATGGCCAATATGCCAACAGAAATATGTATATGCTACTTTGCTATCAGATGAGAGAATAGCTGAGAAGTGTATTTAAGATTACTCCTTTGAAATCTATAACTATTTTACAGAAAAATATTAAATATAATTACCTTCAGTAACATGACTTTTTGTAGTTTCCTCAATTTTAGGGAAAGACTGAAATGAAGAGAGAGCTCCTTAACACTAATTATTATATTACATACAAAATTTACTTTGTTTAGAAAGATTCTTCTTTATGTACGCAAATTGATCTTTTATGGAAACTACTGTAAAATGAATTCGTTTTTAATGCTGATACAAAAAGTGATTTTTCTTTTAGTCATTTCTTTCATTTAGCAAATTTCTAAAAGTGAAAATCATTCTATACTTCAGTGCAGAAATTGCTTTTTCCTCCTTCTTCCAATTTCAACTTTTATTTAAGAGCCTTCAGAATTATTTATGAGTTAACGAAGAGACTAAAAAGCATCATATTGGGATTCCCTGGTGGCTCAGATGGTAAAAGAGTCTGCCTGCAATGTGGGAGACCTGGGTTCAATCCCTGGGTCAGGAAGATCCCCTGAAGGAAATAGCAACCAACTCCAGTATTTTTGCCTGGAAAATCCAATGGACGGAGGAGACTGGCAGGCCAGTCCATGGGGTCACAAAGAGTCAGAAACGACTAAGAGACTTCACTTTCACTTTCTTTCAAAAAGTGTTTACAAAATGTGGTACATATAAGGAATCAGGGTGCTACAGAAATATGAAATTATAAGGAGGGAATAAAAGCTTCATAAAAGTGACAGAAATAGCTGTTATTTACAATATTTTGTCTTGATGCATTGACTATTGAAACAAAAGTAAAACACACTGGAATAGAAAACAATTTCTCACCATAACCAGCTTGAGGAGATCTGCAGCATTGCCTCTCTCCTCCTCAGTTCTGGAATCTTTAACTGTCATTTCCTGCAACTCATCTTCTTTCTTTAGAATATAGTTTATATAATCCTAAATCAGTAGAATAAAACAAATCAATAAAACACAGAAGTATGGTAGAGAGAGATACGAAATAGTTAACATCAACTGGAAATATCACAGAAGGTTAAGAATATGTAAGTTTACAATACTCAGCAACCAGCTACTAGTCAAGCAATCTGGAAAGGCTTTTCCTTAATACGTTAATAAGCAAAGACCCAAAAAGCTCAAGAGTAAAGCTATAAGAGCCATAGGCCATTTGAATTGTCTGAAGACCTCAGAGAAGCCCAGCTTCCCACTCAGCATCCTCATCAATAAAATGGACAGAGTTGGGATAGGTGATTTCTAGAGTCCTCTGCAGGTAGAGTCTCTAAGATGATACTTCTGAATGTAAGTTGCTCAGTTCACGCCTTTGCTGAAAACTGTAAATACTTGAATTTTCATGAATAACGGCCCCCTGTGGTATGCCAGGTATGGATATATAACCGTAAACTAAACACATCTGACACATGTTCTGAGAGCGCTGACACACCTGACAGTGAGACGTTACAGACATGCTTACACAGTGAAATACATATTAACAAAATCTCAGGTTGTTTCCAAAGACTAACAAAATCCTTTTCTTCCATGGAAGAATGAAGATTATTCAGGGAACACCATTGCTTCCCATTTTCAACCAGTAACTAGTTGCCACTGATAAATAGACAGCCAGCAGTCTGTCAGAAATGCTCAAGAAGTGTTATATAATACAATATGCCTGGTCACAGAAGGAGAAAAACTAGGAAATAACTTACATTATGGACAAGTATCAGGTTAATATGCAGTTCTACCCTTTTCCCGAGGTTACTAGATCAGTTTTCCATAGAGTGAGAAAGGAGGACAACGATATTGCAATCACATCTAAAAGATACTTATCTTCTCAATGTCTTTGGAGCCTCAATACTTCCTCTATCTTATGGGAACCATGAAGTATTTTCCATCATTCAACCTCCTACCCACTAGAAGATTGGCAATCATGTGTTGCATTAAATAAAAATAGGTAAAATTCCGTAAGTTCAGGTTCCTTAGGAAACCAAGAGGAATGGTTGCCCTGGTCCTGATTCTTTTGGTCAGGTTACCTGCAATCCATTACCTTCAGGGAAATCTGCAGTTTCAGTTTCACCTCATTCCTTATGACCTCATGCTGGATGAACTGGCGTATCTGTAGCACATTGGGGCTCTTCAGTATAGGGGCTGGAGTGTTCACTAACTGTTTGAAGTCAATGTCAAGGCCCTTCCAAATCTGAGTGCCAAACGGAGGTCCTGGAGTTTTTTTCTGTTACCAAAATAAGCAAAACCACCATCAAAGAAATGAGTATGTTTTAACATTAGATTTTTTTCTTCCACTGTGCACTTACTATGTAGACACTATGCTCAAACTACCACACAATTGCACTCATCTCACATGCTAGCAAAGTGCTGGTCAAAATTCTCCAAGCCAGGCTTCAACAGTGAACTTCCAGATGTTCCAGCTGTTCCAACTGTCTAGATGTTCCAACTGTGAACTTCCAGATGTTCCAGCTGGATTTAGAAAAGGCAGAGGAACAAGAGAGCAAATTGCCAACATCCATTGGATCATCAAAAAAGAGAGAGTTCCAGTAAAACATCTACTTCTGCTTTATTGACTACACCAAAGCCTCTGGCTGTGTGGATCACAACAAATTGTGGAAAATTCTTAAAGAGATGGGAATACCAGATCACCTGACCTGCCTCCTGAGAAATCTGTAAGCAGGTCAAGAAGCAACAGTTAGAACTGGACATGGAACAACAGACCAGCTCCAAATCAGGAAAGGAGTACATCAAGGCTATATATTATCACCCTACTTATTTAACTTATATGCAGAGTACATCATGAGAAACGCTGGGCTGGATGAAGCAGAAGCTGGAATCAAAATTTCCGGGAAAAATACCAATAACCTCAGATATGCAGATGACACCACCTTTATGGCAGAAAGTGAGGAAGAACTATAGAGCCTCTTGATGAAAGTGAAAGAGAAGAGTGAAAAAGTTGGCCTAAAACTCAGCATTCAGAAAACTAAGATCATGGCATCTGGTCCCATCACTTCATGGCAAATAGACGGGGAAACAGTGAGAGACTTTATCTTTTTGGGCTCCAAAATCACTGCAGATGGTGACTGCAGCCATGAAATTAAAAGATGCTGGTTCCTTGAAAGAAAAGTTATGATCATCCTAGACAGCATATTAAAAAGCAGAGACATTACTTCACCAACAAAGGTCCAGCTAGTCAAAGCTATGGTTTTTCCAGTAGTCATGTATGGATGTGCGAATTGCACTATAAAGAAAGCTGAGTGCTGAAGAATTGATGCTGTTGAACTGTGGTGTTGGAGAAGACTCTTGAGAGTTCCTTGGACTGCAAGGAGATCAAACCAGTCAATCCTAAAGGAAATCAGTCCTAACTGTTCATTGGAAGGACTGATGCTGAAGCTGAAACACCAATACTTTGGCAACCTGGTGTGAAGAGCTGACTCATTTGAAAAGACCCTGATGCTGGGAAAGATTGAAGGCGGGAGGAGAAGGGGATGACGGAGGATGAGGTGGTTGGATGGCATCACCGACTCAATGGACATGAGTTTGAGTAAGCTCTGGGAGTTGGTGATGGATAAGAAAGCCTGGCATGCTGCAGTCCATGGGGTCATAGAGAGTCAGACACAACTGAGTGACTGAACTGAACTGAGACATTATATGCTAGGAACCTCTCATTAGTGAACACAACAGTGAAAAAAAGGGATCCCTGCTTTCAAAAAGTTTTGCAAATATAAGGAAAATTGGGAATGAACTGGAAAAGTTTTCCTCTTTGTATGTGTTACCAAAAATAAGGACATTTTAAAATCCTGTTGCCTGATGTCCTACTGGATAGCATTTAAGGGGATACTAAGCCAGGCTGTTGCCATGGTGATGCAGCAGAAGCCTTGTTTATGCCAAATGCATGAGACTACCTGGGCTTCCCCGGTGGCTCTAGTGGTAAAGAACCCACCTGACAATGCAGGAGATGCAAGAGATATCGGTTGGATCCCTGGGTTGGGAAGATCCATTGGAGGGGGAAATGGCCTCCCACTCCAGTATTCTTGCCTAGAGAATCCCATGGACAGAGGAACCTGGTGGGCTACAGTTCATAGGGTCACAAAGAGCTGGACATGATTGAAGTGATTCAGCACGCACACATATCTTTATACCCACAGAGAGACTAAGACATTTGGAATTAAGCTTGGAGGGATCCTTTGAGAGAGAAATCAAGCCATAGATCTGGGAGGTCTTTGAGCTCACTCTAGATTAAGCATGCTGCCAGATTCTTCCCAGGATCTCTCGGACAGAAATGTTTGCCTTGCGTAGACACATGTCTCTTATTTTTTTTTTTTTTTTTTGGTAATTGACTTTCAGGAGTGGTGTGGGGTTGATGTGTTTCATTTTAAGTTGCTCTTCAGTGTCAAATGCATGGTCAGTGACAGCTATTTAGGAGCTTGCTTGAGCTGGGTCACTCCACTGGGCAGAGGTCACAGCTATAGGAATTGTGGAGGAAGAGAAGGAACTTCCTTCATTTATCTCAAATGTGGTATATTATTTCTCATAATGCAGTAAATACATTCAACTTAGAGATAGCCTTAGTAAACTATTTGGTGTGAGCTTTCAATTTTCAGATAAGGAAATAGAGATCCAGGATGACTTGTCTCAAATTCCACATTAATAATTGATAAAGTCAAGATTATAATTCAGATCACCTTCATTGACGATGTTGATTACAGGTACCAAACTAAAACAGAGGGCTAGGAGATCTTTGCTATCTTACGTGTTCATTACCTGTGCTTCCACTACTATAAGACTGGATAAAGAAACCAAGAATATCATAACTAAAAAACATTATCCTCCTCACTTTACACTACTATCTTTCCCTGATCATGTTACCAATGCCTTCACTGATTTAACATTTTAACATCTGACAATTTGCTGTACATATTACATAAACTGCTTGCAAAATTAAATGACAAATCTGGCAAGATGCAGGACTTTATGATTCTTTCTCAAGATATTTTCTTTCATTCTTAGGTGAGGCTTCTCTAAGCTGACACAATTACAATGCTTACTTTTTAACACTGAGATTCCGAGTTACTATATTTAATATTTCACATTATTCTTACATACTCAGTTTGTGCATTAATAAATTAAGAACAAAGGGAAAATGAAAGACTTCAGATTGTGTGTTAAAACTAGCAAATATTGGGAGAAAGGAAGCTTTCTATATTGCATAATATCAGTAATGGGTTACTCAGAGTAGATATTTTTATATTATAGGAAGATGTTCAAACCAGCAATGTAGGCTAAAAAAATAAAATTGAAAATTAGTCAGGTATATTTCTTCAAAATTTACAAATGTCAAAGTATTCAAATATAAAACTCCTTGATCCCGTTAACAGTTTACATGAGAATGAAAAGAGGTGAATATACAGGAGAAGACCTGAGCTCTGGTCCATGGATGGATGGATACACATATATGGTAACTTCACAGCAGAAAAATTTCTACCTGAACTGAGGGAAAAGTTTCCCATGTCCTTGACTGGAGATTAGGAGGAACAATCGTATCTAGTTCTTGCTTCATTAGCCATGGTGACACTTCATGGAAAGGGCGAAGGACGGTAATGCTCAGGGCACCTGGGTCACAGAGAGTTATCAGAGGATCATTTCTCTGTCAGAAATACTCTGAGGAATTCGACAAATATTAAACACATTTGATAAGCCAGACTCAGCGATAATGCTTAAGGACCTTAGGGTCTAATAAGGGAAGTCTTTTAGTCAGAGTAACACCTAAAAGCTGGATTTAGACCACTCGAAAGTATACATCGACACTTCACTGTCCTTCAGAAATCACATGCAAGTCCTGTCAGTTCTACCACGAAACATTTCTTGAGTTCATCCACCTCTTTCCCCCCCACTGACCCAAGCTTAGACTATTTCCCACAGAGAGATCCTGTTTTGGACCTGAGCAACAATCAACTTTCCTTCCCACCTCTATTCTGTGAATGAACCTCCTTCCACAGGCAGTGTGACTGACCATGTTAGTCCGCCATGTAAGCTTTTCTCTGACTTCCCATCGCTCATATGATAAAACTGAGGCCTTAATGTTTTCTTTTGCCTCCTCAACTTGGGCTATTTTCCCTTCTATACTTTGGCTCCTTTGGCCTTTTCTCCTCTGTTCCCCCAAGTTCCAAGCTTCCTGCTTTGTATTCCCTCTTCCAAGAAAGCTCCTCCTCCTATTTAATTAGTGCCTACTTATCCAGCAGTTCTTGGCTCCAGCGTTTTCAGGAAAGCCTTCTAGATTATGTCAGGCTCCCCTGTTAGATGCTCTCATGGGACCATATTCCTTTACTCCATAGGCCTTATCCCACTTTATAATCATACAGGTATTTGTGTGACTATGTAATTAATGCCCATCTCTTTCCTTAGACTCTAAGCTTTGTGAAAGCAGGGTTTGTTGCTCTCTTAGCTCACCATTGTATCCCTAACACCCAGCCAGGTTATGGTACATGGTGGGTTATCATGTAGATGCTAAATGACTGACTAATGAAGCAAATTGAGATGAATTCTAATTCTCTCACAGTTCTACACACACACTGTTCAACCAGTCAGAGCTCCCCACTTTCCATATTCATAGAGAAAGAGCAAATTTATTACATCACACACATGTACATTGATGCAGTCAAAAATACAACTGCACAAAGAGGCAGGCATACTCATAAATGAACACAAAATATATCCCACCAATCAGAGAAAAGATAAAAAAGGAAACACACATATAGACCTAGATAGACATAGCATATTGCTTTGGTGCATGGATAACATGAAAGTTTTTTTGTTTTTTCTGTGCTTAAATACACAGGTTACATATACAGTGATTCTTACCTAATGCAATGTATGACTCTATTTTTAGTCATACACTAGTTTCTTTGAAATTAATGAAAATATGCAAATGCCCAATGAATATAATACATAACTTATCCTATATTTCCGGTTGGATTTCTAACTGACACATCAAATCTACTTTATTCTCTTGTTATACTAAATTCATCAAGGCAACACCATCAAAATGACAAAATATGAAGTTAGGAAATACATCTCGCTTTTGATTTTTACTACCAAGACGAAACTAACACATAAGTAGGTACATAACTAAATCCACCTAACAAGCCTACATGCAGATACAAGTCTAGTTATAGAGAGGAAAGGGACTCACACAATTTACACAGGTTGATGCTTAGACAAAGCACAGTACACACATACATCACGGTACAACCAGGCTGACATGGCCAGGTGGAAAGCTGAGTTGAAAAGTGAGCAAGGGGGAAAACATAGAGACCACATCAGGGTAGACTGGATATGGGGGATGAGAGTCAGTAATGGGACATAGCAACTTCCAGTCTGATTCTCTACCTGGTTGTTCCTGAACTGGCTCTTGAAGAACTACGGTAGTTGATTCTCCATATGCCAAGGAGAGGTACTCCTCTATGTCACTGTCCCGAAGAAGCTCCACTCCTGATCCATCAGCATAGATAACAAAAAACCTGTTTGCAGAAATAAAAATCTAATCCCTTGACACATTCAGCTAAAATGCTCCTTAAACTTGGAACTGAAAATAAAAGTCAGGATTTTATTTTTAATATATTACCTGGGGACATGTTCACCATAGATTTGCAGATGATTCTTATGAAGGTGAGTGGATGACAAACTGTCATAACCTTCAGCTTTTGCATTTAAATCATCTTCCAAGTTGTTTTCAGGTAGGATGGTTGATACACTACCATCAGACATGACCTAAGGGACACAGTATATAAGCAACCAAAAAAAAAAAAAAGCCATAAAGCTTACATTTTTGTTGATCTCATTTGAGAAAGCAGGCAATCTTTTGGATATTCAGAAAATCAAAGATATTTACTTATAAGGTATTATTCCCTAAGTATTTTGTTGTTATTTGGCCACAAAGTTGTGTCTGACTCTTTCGCAGCCCCATGGACTGTAGCTCACCAGACTCCTCTGTCCATGGGATTTCCCAGGCAAGAATACTGGAGCAGGTTGCCATTTCTTCCTCCAGGGGATCTTCCCAACCCAGGGATCGAATCCACATCTCCTGTATTGGCAGGTGGATTCTTTACCACTGAGCCACCGGGGAAGCCCCAATAGATTGCATTAGTAAAAGTGAAAACCTAGTAGTACATCTTCACTGACAAACTACACCGAGAATGTGAAAACAAACGGGAAGACAAACCAGAATACAATCAGAGGAAGGTGACTAGTATGGCAGGGGACACACCAGGGGATAATCTTATCTTCTGAGGATAAGTTCAGGGAACTGGGAATTTAAACACAGAGGAAAGACTACTCATGTGACAGTTGTCTTGAAATATTAAGAGTGACAATATGGATTCTAAGCACAGAACTAGGGACTCATGGATAGACCACCTTGGGAAGCAGATTGAGGTTCACTCTGAGAAGTACATTCCTAGCTATTGCTACTGTCTAGATACAGAGTGTGGTTTAGGCCGAAAGGCCACTGAGGGGAAGGCACAAGAAGAACATCAAAGCCTAGCGTAATGCTTGGCTTAGATATTTCAATTTAGAGGGTTTGGGTTTTAGCTTTCAATTTCAGTTCATTGTTAATCAGTCTCTTAGTAGCCTGAACTCATGCTGTGAAGAGTCTCACTTACACAGAAAAACACAGAAAAACAAACTTGGATCAGGCCTTGTCTGCATCCCATACAAAGTTGGGGACTCTTTGTCAGGGTTTCAAATCTAAAAAGTAACTTCGCCACCCACTAGCCAACACATGAAATTACACCAAGAAGTGAGAAGTGGAAAAAAAGTGCCTAGAGAAAGGGCTGGTGGACCTCTCCTTGTCAAGGGTCAGATAGTATATATTTCAGGGTTTGTAGGCCATAGAGTTTCTGTTGCAACTAGTCGATGCTGCCATTATATGCAAAAGCAGCCACAGGTAATATGTAAACAAATGAGCTTTGCTATGTTCCAATAAAACTTTATATAATGACACTGAAATTTAATTTCCTATAATTTTTTTGTGTCATGAAATACTCTTCTCCTTCTGATTTTTCCCAACCATTTAAAAATGTAAAATGCAATCAGCCCACATTTTGAGCTCAAGGGCCCATATAAACAAGTGACCATGGTTTGCCACTGCCTGGCTTAGCAATAAGAGGAAGGACAGAGAAACAGAATACAGAGCTCTACCACTGACTAGCTAAGCACCTCACCAGGCTTCCCACCTCCCCATCCTCAGCCCTCCTGGAACCCTCAGGCTGATAATATTTCTAAGGATTCTCTACCTAGTCAAACAGACTTGCCTGCTGTCCTGTGTATTTTCTCTCACTTAAACCCAGATACAGAGAATTCTTACATTATTCTTCTTTGTCGACATTATTTTTAAATGTTTAGTAACTTTTCCCCCTTTTGTTCTAATTATTTATTTGGCCTTAACATTTCAATCATCCTCATTATTGGACTTGCTATCCCCTAATGAAGCATAATTGAGAATTAAAGCTACTGACATTAATTGCTGTTGTCCAGAGCACTGATAGTAAGTAGATAACTAATCTCAAGGCAGCTAAGATAAAAAGCTATTGGGGAGCTCTCTAGGGTGAAATATCTCAAAAGCAAACCCATCACCTCTCTCTCCATACTAATGATGCACTTTACCTGAAAGGTATTTCCTTCGGGATCCATGACCTCACAGATAACCTCTGATGTGTGTTTCATGATATACCTGCTAGCTCTCAGCTGCTCACGTTTTTGAAAAGGATGGTATATGTCACTGCTTGATTCATGGCAATATATAGCTGAACAATCCCTATCAATATGAAGACAGCCTGTGTTTGGAGGTAACACCTGAAAGGGTCACACAAAAAGAGAAATTATTCAAAATTTCTTGATTGATTTGAGAGATTTAGAAAATCATTTAAGGAAAAAATACTATCCATAGACTCGAGACACAAACTGTATTTTCAGGAAGAAAACAAAAGAGGATGTAAGTTTTGGGAAAGACTACTTAATAAGGAGGCAAACAATGATTAGGATATAATTGTTCCTGCATCCCATATTTTATCTACTCGCTTTAATACTTCTTCCAAGTAATGCAATCTATGTCCCTTCTTTTTTCAGATATTTAATTAAAGTATTAAAAGCATATGTTAAGTAAACACACTTGGCCCTATTCAAAACATTTGGGATCCTTTAATGTTTTTGGGTAAGGAGCATCTTCAAAGGGGTCAACAGCAATGGGACAAATGCTTTTAGAAGCTTTTATTTTTCCTCATTCCTCAGGTGGCTGACACAGACCTTAAGTAATAGCTTTTGTATAATGACTTCTGGTTTGGATAGCCTCTTTGAGATATAATTCACATGCCATATATTATCCCCTTTGAAGTGTTCATTCAGTGGATTTTAGTATATTCAAAAACTTGTGCAAACATTATCACTAATTCCAGAATATTTTCATTATCCTGCAAAGAAACCCTGATGCTATTAGTCATTTTGCATCTCTCCTGTCTCTGGCAACCAGTGATCTGCTGTGAGAAATTTCATAGAAATGGAAGCATGTGATATGTGGCCTCTTGTGTCTGGCTTCTTTCTCTTGGCATAATGTTTTTAAGCTTCATCTATATTGTAGTGTGTATCAATACTTCATTGTTTATTTCCACTTCAGTTTACATGTGTGAAATTTAAAAGTTTTTATGCCTAAAATGAACTCAAGGTTTTTTCAATTTAGGTAGTTTGGGGAGATTTGAAACTGAAATCAAGCCTACAAGCTAAACTGAGGAGTTCAAAGTTCACAAATTCCGCCAGTAAGTCCTCAATTTTCCCATTATTTGACTTGCAGTTGCCCAGGACAAGTTCTCAAATAGCTGCCAGAGTCTGGTTCCTCAGCTTCAGGTAGATCCTTCTCCTCATGGCCATGTTTCTCTCTTCCCCTAGTCTTCAAATTTAACTTTCTGTGGCAGGNTAAGTATTGTTGAATAAATCAGAGGTGGGAGGGCTGGAAATGAAGGATGACAACCAGGTTGTTCGGTTTGGGGGCATCAGAGGCAAGCTCAGCAGAGAGGAGCTGGTCCGTGCTCACATCCTGGCTGACTGATCTTCTATTTGGACAACAGCTGTTGGGAGGCATGCTTGCCTGCGAGTGTCAGGATGTTTATAGTTCTGAGGGTCCGAGCCAGCCTCACAGGTGTTTCCCTGCTGCCTTCTGAGTGAGGGCCTGACATCTGGATGTGGGCTGGAGACAGGGGCTGAAGTGGGTGTGGGATGAGTCAGCTGTGGTTTATGATAAATCCCTGAGTTCTTAGCTACCACGCGAATTTACTTTGCCAAGCACAGATGCAGCGCCTACTGAGCATCAACGTCACACTGGATTCTCCTCCTCCCTCCACTTGGGTGTGGCCACTCTTGTGCTGGTGACTATTGGAGAGTCCCTTCTACATGCCAAGTGCTAAACTGGGTACCACCATGCAGACATCATCTTCTGTAACCTCCCGACAACCCTGTAAAGTTGTACTGTAATGACTTAACAGATGAGAATGCCAAGGCTCAGAGGTTAAATACTTGTCCAAAGTCAAAAAGTTATGAAATGAGGATGGGGTGATTGGACCTAGAGCCATCTTGAAAAGCTATCATTTGGATAAAGGTCTAGAATTCCAACCTCTGTTAGAGTAAGTCCAAGCAAAATTGTATCATTGGCAAAACTCATCTGTAAGACCAAGTACTTATCTTATTGCTATACCAGCCCTGCCAGGGCTGGACTTAAATTTCTAAGGCCAAGCTGTCCAATAGCCATCATGGTGAGACATACGGGTCATTTTTAATCTTTGAGAAGCCAGATTTTAAAATCCAAGTGAAATTAATTTTAACAATATATTTTAGTTAACTCAATACTGTATTGAAAATATCATTTCAACTGATAGCCAATTTCAAAGTTATTCATGAGATACCTGACATCCCGTTTTTCACATTAAGTCATCAAAGGACTCTATATTCTACAGTTACAGAACATTTCAACTTGGACCAGCCACACTTTGCATCTTCAATAGCCACATGTATCTACCATATTGCATAGTGAGAGGTTAGAGGCCCTAGGCATCAGAAAGGTTATGTGGGCTCCCACTCATTCACCCACCTATGAAAGTCAAAATAATAAGAATGCGATATTACTCAACCATAAAAAAGCATGAAATTGGACCATCTGTAGAGACATGGATTGACTAGAGTGTGTCATACAGAATGAAGCAAGCCAGAAAGAGAAAAACAAATATTGTATATTAACACATATATGTGGATTCTAGGAAAATGCTATAGGTGAACTTATTTGCCAAGCAGAAATAGAGATACAGACAAAGAGAACAAACATATGGACCCCAAGCAGGAAAGGGGTGGTGGAATGGACTGGGAGATTGAGATTGACTTAGATCCACTGCAGTATAATGCAGATAGCTAATGAGAACCCACAGCATAGCTCAGGGAAGTCTACTCAGGACTCTGTGACAAGCTAAATGGGAAGGAAATCCAAGAGAGAGGGGGTATGTGTATAAGTATGGCTGCTTCACTTTGATACAGAACAAGAAACTAATACAACGTTGTAAAACAACATTGTACTCCAATTTAAAATAAAAAAGAATGCTATACCATAAAATAACAATTGATTTTTCCAAGTATCGCTAAACTGGCAGATTTCCTTTTCACATCTTTGGTGCTTATGCTTCCCCGGCTCCTAAGTACCTTGGACCCTTGGTCTGGGTCTTGGTTAACCCAAACCCTTGACACTGACCCTCCATTAGGCCTTCCTCTCAGGGCTCTGTGAACCCCCGTCCCAGCAGGTCCCTCCTGTAGACAATGCCTTAATCTGATAGTGCACAGACCCGAACATTCATTATCCTCTCAGAAATGCAATAGGAGGTTTCCCATTTCTCCTTCCAAAAACTACAGAAACGGGTCTTAGAGGGAGAAGGTGCCACGGAGCTGTTGGAGGGTGGCTGTGGCTGGCCTTGGGGCCTTCTGAGAAGCGGTCACTCATCAGGGAGGGTAACAGGGAGATTGCTTCAAACCCGGCAGAGACTCAGCTCCCCACCATCCTGCTGAAACTCGGCTCCGTGTCTTCCCAGAAAAGTGCCGGGCAAGCCAGTCAGGAGGCTCTCGGCCCTCCGAGGCTGACGGTCACCGGGTTCTGACCTCGACTGTGTAATTACTGTGTCCTATGCACAGTCAAGGCTGAGGTTCCTTCCTTCCTCATTAAAAAAAAAAAGTCTTTCCCAGAATTGCTCGGAACTGGCCCTGGTGCCTCAAACCATTGTAAATGTTTACAGGAAATTGTTCCCTTGCACGGACTGCTTGTGTGATACACATACTGTGAAATATAAGATGAGGTCACCCTTCAGTAAACCGCTTCTTGGTCCGGCAGTGGAAACAGTTCCCCAGATAAACCCGATGCCCAGACTCAAAGAGCTTGAGGGATCAAGTCATTTCCACCCACCTCCAGGCTCCCCCCTCAACCTCCAGGCTGCTGCTGGGCCAGCCCCAGACTGCTCTGCTCTCCTTCTAAGAAGTATTGCAGGAAGGAAAGTCTTAAAAGCCTTGCTTTTAAAATGTTAACTCAATTGTCCTGAATTATGCAGATATAGGTTGACCGAAGCTTCGGAGCAGAGGATTTCCTGTTGGTCCCTGCTACGCCCAGGCTTCCCCGGGGGGCTGAGGGGTAAAGAATCTGCCTACCAATGCAGGAGATACAGGAGACTCTGGTTCGATCCCCAGGTCAGAAAGATTCTCTGGAGAAGGAAATGGCAACCCACTCCAGTATGCTTGCCTGGAGAATTCCATGGACAGAGGAACCTGGCAGGTTACAGACCATAGGGTCGAAAAGAGTCCAACACAAGCACACACACACGCGTCACATCACCCGCTATGTACAGAGGGCCTGAGTAGAGCACACAGCTTCACACCCATGCAGAGACCAGCTCCGTCAAAATGCAGTGCAAACGCCCCCGGGCATTTAAACACTCCTTCACTCAGCAAGTCAGGTCTGATGAACACTGAAAGTCTTCTATGTGGAGATTGCAATGAGCAGGGCCCCCTGTTCCCATGGAACTTGCAGTGAGGGATGGCAGAGACGGGATGGAGGAGGAGGAAGGGCAATAGGACAGACCAGGAAGGAGAGTCCATCTCTTCCCAGGAGACTCCAGCGAGTTAGGAGCAGGAGTGCAGGTGAGGAGCGCAAAGCTAACAGAAGGCCTTGCAGGCAGAGGGAAGAGTCCAGGCTAGATCCAGGTTCTGGATCTAAAATGGTTTGAAGCAGAAAGGTGAGCAGGTTGATCTGCTCAGCAGAAAGGCCACTTAGGACAGCGAATTCTGACCAGGAAAAGTGAGGGTAAGGCAGGATCCCCATGGAGCAGCCCATGTGGAAAACAAAAGGAAGGGGTTGGATTCAGAGAAATTTTTATGAGAAAAAATAATCCTTTCTGAGGTGAGATTTCCAGCACTCAGAGGTTAAAAAGACATCATGTCGCAGAGGAAGTAACTGCATACAGATTCTGGAGGCGAGGCTGCAGGAGGAAATGAGGGGGGACAGCAGAAATAGCTTTGGGAGTGAGTCGGAATGAGGCAGGCAGCAAACGCTATTTTTGCAAGTGAGCTCATCCTAAAATTTTCAGTTTCTCCAGCTGGAATCAAAGAGCTAGATCTTCCTGGAATTGTAAGGGTGGAACTAGTCCTTGAGACTACACAAACGGTCCCCAGACATGGAGCTGTGGCTGTCCCTAGGAGCAGCACACAGCCCTCCAACCGCTGGGTCAGCGCAGTCTTTCTAAGTCCAAGCACTGACTTTCCAAATAGAGAGATGAGGGCTGGTGCCAGAGTCAAACACTTCAAGTCCTTGCCAGCACATGCTATTCACAGAGAGCAGGCATGAGAGGAGGGCTAGGAACAGGCAGGAACGCTCCAGAATCTGATAATTTGTCATGTGGTTTAAGGGTGGAGCCCAGGACTTGAACCCAGTCTGAAGAAATTGAATTCAGGGTTTGTTGATCAAATAGTCTTTTTCATTCCCATATTTGCAACCCCTGGGACATCTTTCCTACTCTGTGTGTGCACGTGTGCTAAGTTGCTTCAGTAATGTCCAACTCTTTGCCATCCTATGGCCATAGCCCACCAGACTCCTCTGTCCATGAGATTCTCCAGGCAAGAATATTGGAGTGGGCTGCCATTCCCTCCACCAGGGGATCTGCCCCACCCAGAGATCAAACCCGCATCTCTTACATCTCCTGCATTGACAGGAGAGTTCTTTACTACTAGAGCCACCTAGGAAGGCCTTTCCCATCCTGCGTCCAGGTTCTAAAAAGGATACACTGCCCTTCTTCCTTAGTCATTATTGTTTTGGTATTGATCACAAATCCGCTTGCAATGCGGGAGACCTGCGTTCGATCCCTGGGTTGGGAAGATCCCTTGGAGAAAGGAAAGGCTACCCACTCCAGTATTCTGGCCTGGAGAATTCCATGAACTGTATAGTCAGTCCATGGGTGGCAAAGAGTTGGACACAACTGAGCAACTTTCACTTTCACCTATGATGAACAAGGATTACTTTGAGCACCAGGGGAAAAGTGTGGTTCAGATGAGTCTAAGGGGTAACTACCCCCTCAAGCTACCAATTAGGACTTTTCTCTGAAATTAACAAGTTTATGAATGGGTTTGATATTGTAGCAATTTGGGCCTTTTGTCTTAACCTCTTCCACTTCATTTTAAGCACCTGGAGGCCAAGGAACATACCATATTTGTTTTTACAGTGTTTTGGGGGGGTCTTTTTTGAGGTATAAGTCACACACCATACAATTCAACCATTTAAAGTGTTCAGTTGTTTTTAATGTATTCAGTTTTTTTTAATGTGTTGATGTATGAAACCATCACCATGGTCAATTTAGAACATTTTCATCACCTTAAAAAGAAACTTCCTATACTTGAGCTATCACCACTCTGCCCACCCCACCTCCAGCCACTGTTCTACTTTCTGTCTTAATATACATTCCCCTATGCTGGACTTCCATATGAATGGAATCATAATACTTCATCTTCTGTGTTTGGTTTCTTTCACTCACCATGATGTGCTTAATGCCCATTCATATCATCAAATGTATCAGTACTCTATTCCTTTTTCTGGCCAAGTAATATTCCACTAAATGAATATGGCATGGTTCATTTACCCATTATCCACTGATGGACATTGAAGTGGTTTGCACCTTTTGACCACTATGAATGATGCTGTCGTGAACATTTGAATGCAAGTTTTGTGGGGACATAAGTTTTCATTTCTCCTCCATTTATGTTGAGGAGTGAAATTAAGGGATAAACTATATTTGTTCCTCTTTCTGCTACAATGCCTAGTACTGTGCTTTATGCAATGTGAGACTTCAGTGGATACTTGTTACATGAATAAATAGAACACAGTTATCAGCACAAGATATTAAAGTCAAAGGATCCATCTAGGTTCTACCAAAGTCTGCGACCTGTATCTACCCTGGCTTCTCTAGCTGGACTAGATAAACTTCCGTATTGTTTCCTGCTCATTGTGGTTTTGTTTCTTTCTCCTGCACTTTAGGAACCGATGAAGCCGCCATCATTGAAATCTTATCAAGCAGGACATCGAATGAGAGGCAACAAATAAAACAAAAGTACAAGGCAGCATACGGCAAGGTGATGCCAAGGGTCTTCAGCCATGTGCACATGGCCTTGGTCTTAACTGTCTCTTATACTTCCTTTGTGTTCCCAAGACAGTGAGGGATACCTTTAAAGCTTTATCTAGTTAGCCCAGGAGAAACAAAATAAACTTGAGCTATCACCACTCTGCCCACCCCACCTCCAGCCACTGTTCTACTTTCTGTCTTAATATACATTCCCCTATGCTGGACTTCCATATGAATGGAATCATAATACTTCATCTTCTGTGTTTGGTTTCTTTCACTCACCATGACATGCTTAATGCCCATTCATATCATCAAATGTATCAGTACTCTATTCCTTTTTCTGGCCAAGTAATATTCCACCAAATGAATATGGCACGGTTCATTTACCCATTATCCACTGATGGACATTCAAGTGGTTTGCACCTTTTGACCACTATGAATGATGCTGCCGTGAACATTTGAATGCAAGTTTTGTGCGGACATAAGTTTTCATTTCTCCTCCATTTATGTTGAGGAGTGAAATTAAGGGATAAACTATATTTGTTCCTCTTTTTGCTACAATGCCTAGTACTGTGCTTTATGCAATGTGAGACTTCAGTGGATACTTGTTACATGAATTAAGAGAACACAGTTATCAGCACAAGATATTAAAGTCAAAGGATCCATCTAGGTTCTACCAAAGTCTGCGACCTCTATCTACCTTGGCTTCTCTAGCTGGACTAGATAAACTTCCGTATTGTTTCCTGCTCATTGTGGTTTTGTTTCTTTCTCCTGCACTTTAGGAACCGATGAAGCCGCCATCATTGAAATCTTATCAAGCAGGACATCGAATGAGAGGCAACAAATAAAACAAAAGTACAAGACAGCATACGGCAAGGTGATGCCAAGGGTCTTCAGCCATGTGCACATGGCCTTGGTCTTAACTGTCTCTTCTGCTTCCTTTGTGTCCCCAAGACAGTGAGGGATACCTTTAAAGCTTTATCTAGTTAGCCCAGGAGAAACAAAATAAAACAACTATTTAGAGCTTTAATTGACTTCAGAAAAACTGAAATGGCCTTGTCAAGACCCTGTAAAATCAATATTAACTCATTGCTTTTTCAATTGACTTCTTTTTAAATTAATCCCTCAGTCATTTTCCCCCCATTCTTTTGGACTAATTCCACACATTAATTTATAGATAGGCCAGCAATTTGAAAATCAGCTTTCACGGGAGGGTCTTTATATAAGAATTCTTCATTTATTCAGGTGTCTTCGAGAATGATATATTCTTCATAAATGACCGTTATAAAAACTAAAAAACCAAAAAGCAAAAACACTCTCTGTTTCATTAAACAGCAACACCTTTTCCTTTCTTTACATTTCTTTCATTCTTATTGTTGAAAGTGTTATGTATAGAAATCTTTAAGAATATATTATCCTTTCTACAGTATTTTCTTCATTAATACATCATTAACACAATTTAACATTTTCTTGATGTCATTAGAACGATAGTTTACAAAATAAATATTAATTATGCTCCATTCTAATTCCAAATTTAGAAAATCTTTACAGTGTCTATAATTATATGTATAATTAGATACAGAGATAGAAATGGACTTTCTTACTTATTTGTCACTGGGCAGGCAACCATCTCTCCGGGCTTGGTCTCCTCACAAATGCAATGATAAATTTGCCTCCCATCTCAGGTTGCTGGGCGAATCAGGCAGGGCAATGCTGGCACCTTCCAGCAAAGGGAAGCCCTGATAGGGATAGCTGTTTCCATCTTACAAAGAGGAAAGTGGAGCTCATCTATTTAAATGACTGATGCAAAACCACACACTTGGTAAGAAACAGAACCAGGGCTCGAGTCAGTCTTCCATCTCCAGGGCCAGCTATCACGTCTGGAGAACCCCTTGTCGTAAGAGGAGGAGCAGTTTATTTCTACGTTAAGTGGTCCAGACAGCTGTGCGTTTGTCATTTCTCCTGCTTCTCTCCGCACGATGAGGCTTGTCAATGCCATTCATTGATGCCACTGGTGAAGACAAGTGAAGCTTCAGTTTAGCTGCTTTGAATTTAATTGAATGACATTGAACTTTCATCCTTGTCAGCATGCCTGACTGTAGCAGCTCCTCAAGCACTGTGTCTACTTCTATCCTGCCAATGTGGAAAGTCAGACACAGGCTTCTCAAGCTTTGGTGTAAAATCAGAGTGTGTGTGTGTGCTAAGTCATGTCTGACTCTTTGCAACCCAACAGACTGTAGCCCATGAGGCTCCTCTGTCCATGAGATTTTTCATCAAGAACACTGGAGTGGGTTGCCATTTCCTCCTCCAGAGGATCTTCCTGACCCAAAGACTGAACCTGTGTCGAATGTGTCTCCTGCATTGGCAGGAGTATTCTTGATCACTGTGCCACTTAGGAAGCAGTAAAATAAAAGTAAACTGGTTCAAAGTCAGAACCTCAGGCTCTGTTAAAGTGGGCACACTATAGCACAAAATCTGCAATACCTACATCCGCCAATCATTTTTTTTTTTTTACTTTCCAATTAGCTGTGTATCAGATGGCTGAGACTACCAAAGAGGTGACTGAGAATCATATCACTAGAAGACATCTCTTGTCGTTGTGGTTCAGTTGCTCAGTCATGCCCAACTGTTTTGCAACCCTATGGACTGTAGTCTGCCAGGCTCCTCTGTTCATGTGGCTTCTCCAGGCAAGAATACTGGATAGGGTTGCCATTTCCTCCTCCAGGGCATCTTCCTGACCCAGGGATTGAACCAGCATCTCCTGCATCAGTAGGCAGATTCTTTACCACTGAGCCACCAGGGAAGCCCTGGAAGACATTAGAGACAAACAAATCTAAATCCCCAGGTCAACTGAGCTCCAAAGAGAAGAAGCATCCCACGGTGACACAGCTAGTTAGCAGGAAACCAGGGTTAGAGCCAAGGTATCCTGCGCTGGCTCCTATGTCCAAATAGAATGTAAACACACAGGGGTTTGTTTTCATGCTTGTGGCTTCTAAGAGCAAGCAGCTGGAATCTCTCTTCTCTGCAGTTCTACATAATGCCCATCTGACTTGAAAAACGATTTCCAGTCTTCGGTTGAATCCACACCAGAGCACTGGCCAGAGGCCTGTCTTCACAAGGTCAGGGTTAGATGCAGCAACTGCCATGGGGTGAAGCTAGTGATATTAGCATCACAACCCACTTTTGAGGCAGCAGATCCCGGGGCCTTGGATAAAAACCTTCTGGGTTTTTCTCCCAGATCTGGAACTCAAAGGTTCATTTGAGGAATAGTTGATTTGCCTTCTCTCTGAAAGTTTCATCAACATAGAATAATAATAATCACTTACTGAACGTCAAAAATGTGCCAGGCACTGTGTTCAGTGTCTACAAGGACTGTCTCATTTAATTCTCCCAACAACCCTAGGAAGTGAGTCTTCCTATTCTCCCCATTCTTCAAAGAAGGAAACCGAGAGATGATGAAATTAGGCGCATTTCCGAGGTCACAGAATTCCATGGCTGTGTTGTTAGCCATCACGCCTGGAGCTGAGTAGTCAGACCGACTTTGAGTTGTAACTTGGTCTATCGGCTTCCAGTCTGACCCACACAGAGCTGTCTCTCTGCCTGAAAGTCCTGCTTTAAGGTCCTTCATTTCGGTTGGGACGACTCTAGCTGGACTGAATGTCCATTCTTGACCCTTTTCTCATTAAGCCATCTAGTCAGAGGGAGGCAGGCAGGAGCAGGCAGTCTACTCGTGATTAGGGAGGCTTGCCAAAAACAGGATGCCAGGGAAAATTTCATGAACTTCCCTTTCCCAACCTGAATTCTTTCCCACATGTGTCCCTTTCAGGATTTAACAGAACACCAAAGTGGCTCTACATGGAGTTTGTCCAGGACAGTCTCCCTTTATTCCTGTTGTCCCCCCGTGACAACAGGGGACAACTATTAGTAGAGCCCCCCTTCACTCTCAGGGCTTCCCTGGCAGCTCAGCTGGTGAAGAACCCATCTGTCAATGCAGGAGACACAAGAGATACAGGTTCGATCACTGGGTCTGGAAGATTCCCTGCAGAAGGAAATGGCAACCTACTCTAGTATTCTTGCCTGGAAAATTCCATGGATAGAGGGGCCTGGTGGGCACAGTCCATGGGGTCACAAAGAGTTGGACACAACTGAGCAAGCATGTGCTTTCCCTCTCAAAAGCACCCCCATCTGGCCAATGAATGATCCAGTCTCCTGGAGAGGACAACTGTGTTAGTCCTCTCTATCCAAGTGTTTGCAGACGAGTCCTTTATCTGACTGATATCTTACTGAGGTTCAGTCCATGGGGATAAAGCAATAAATACCTATCCTCTTAGGGCTGTCTTGATCAATGAGAAGGCTCTCTGAACCCTAAAGTGTTCTGCAAATGCTTGCTGTCATTGTGACTCATCTTCAGTGTCCCCAGCAGATGGATGGGCAGTAGGGTGATCACTGTCCTCCAGAGAAGGTCGCCCACCCCTGTAGAGCTCCTGTCTAGAGCGTGCCCTGGGCATCCACGGCAGGTATCCAGTCGCCCCTGGGGTCATGCTGAGCGGAAAGCAGACACCTGTCCTTCTGACCTCAGGCCATTCTCAGTCAGGATTCCCACCGTCTTCCCACAGGACCTGGAGGAGGTGCTCAAGAGTGAGCTGAGTGGAAACTTTGAGAAGACAGCCTTGGCCCTTCTGGATCGCCCCGAGGAGTATGCTGCCCGGCAGCTGCAGAAGGCCATGAAGGGCATGGGCACAGACGAGGCAGTGCTCATCGAGGTCCTATGCACGAGAACCAATAAGGTGAGTCCCAGCCAAGCCCCCAGGGAGCATCCACGTGCCCGTCAGAGAGGGTTACAGCAGCCAGAAGGGAAAGTGCTCCTAGCCATCCCCTCCTCTGGCGAGCAAATGTCTGGGCAAGCAATGGGCTCACTTGGTTCACACTGGAGAGACGCCTCTTCCAATCTTCTGATGATCAGTTTTGGTGTTACTGCCCCTGCCTTGACAGGATAGAGCCTTACAGAAGAGCTGTGTCAATCATGTTTTATTTTTCTAAAGAGATGCATGGTTTCATATGTGGGATACAAGTCCTAATTTACCTGCCCAGACTGACTTTGCAGGTCTCCTAGCACCAATACTGCAATTAGCAATCCAAGTGTGGACACAGGGAGCAAAGGAACGAGGCAGGGGGGTGTGAATGCCAAGGGGATCCCAGGGAACACCTGGGGCTGCCACCACCTCCCCAGAGGTTTCCATGTCCTTCTATCAGCAGCCCTCTCCCCTCGTCCCTTGGGTACATGCCATCATCTCAGGAGCTAAAAAGGACATTTGTGAAGGCCCATTCATCTTTGTTTCCAGAACCCAGAGGGGCCGTGTGCGTGTGTGTTAGTTGCTCAGTCATGTCCAAGTCTTTGCGACCCCATGGACTGTGGCCCGCCAGGCTCCTCTGCCCATGGAATTATCCAGGCAAGAATACTGGAGTGGGTTGCCATTCCCTTCTCCAAGGGATCTTCCTGATCCAGTGATCAAATCCCGCTCTCCTGCATTGCAGACAGATTCTTTACCATCTGAGCCACCAGGGAAGTCCAGGGACCATGAATTCATCAAGACTAAAAAGGGTCCCCAGGTCCTTCTTTGGGCCTCTTCTTCTGCAACATCTTCCTCCCTCTTCTGCAGCATCCATCATGTAGAGTGGGAGGTCCAGCAAGGAAAGTGCCAAGAAAACCCAACAGTTCTGATTCCTCCAGGCAGGAAACAGAAGCAGCGCCTGGAGCAGATGGCGAGGAAAACCACCCCAGCACTCTGATGCTACTGGGCTGTTAATACTTAGGCCCCAAATGTCGATGATCCAGGCTCGTTCCTTCTGCTCAGCCTGTGCTGTCCAGCCCGTTACTCAAGTCACCGCCGGGGTCCAGGCTACAGGAGCAAACCCCTTTCCTGAACATCCCTGGACTCCTCTTCTTCCCATAGATAATAAAACCCCTCTATTTGGAGTTAGGATGGTGATTTAGAGGAGCGTTAGCACAGGCAGATGGCATTGCTTCTGTCCAATAACCACACAACTCTCCTTACTCAGTATCCCCATCCTTTCCAGAAGCACCAAAGTGCCAGTGACCAGACAGCCAGTATCTGGGCAGCCTCCCTGGCCAGAAGGTTAATTTGGTCATTCTTTTTCTAATCACATTTTTCCCCATGTGGTTCACCCTCAACCTAGTTTCCTTGGGGTCCTGGTCTCAAACAATGAGCAAGGCTTTTTTTCCCCAATGAAATAGATCTGACAGTAAAAAGGAGAAAAGCAGGGAGAACGCAGGCGACAGGTTCAGGCAGATCCTGGTAGTGGGTTGGAAGGAGGAGAAAGGGGACGGGGCTGCAGAGTCTCGGGTGTTCAGCCCCCACCTCCTCCTACCTCCTTCCCGCCCACCACAGCAACACCGCCTGGCTCCTCATCTTCCATCAGCCCCACTCCCTTCTCCCCATTGCTGCCTCACAACTTTCACTTTATTTATTTATTTATTTTTATCAGTTGGAGGCTAATTACTTTACAATATTATAGCGGTTTTTGTCATACATTGACAAAAATCAGCCATGGTTTTACATGTATTCCCCATCCCGAACCCCCCTCCCACCTCCCTCTCCGCCCTATCCCTCTGGGTCTTCCCAGTGCACCAGGTCCGAGCACTTGTCTCATGCATCCAACCTGGGCTGGTGATCTGTTTCACCCTAGATAATACACATGTTTCGATGCTGTTCTCTTGAAACATCCCACCCTCGCCTTCTCCCACAGAGTCCAGAAGTCTGTTCTATACATCTGTGTCTCTTTTTCTTTCACTTTAAACAGTTTGTGGGAGGCACTGTGGGGAGACACTGGCACTTATATGCTGCTGATTCAAGTGTAAACTGAGGCAGCTCCCAAGTGGGTCCCTCGGGACAAGCCATTGAAATATACAGCCACACACAGCTTTATGCACTTCACTTTATTGCATTTTTACAAACTGAGTGTGTGCACCAATGCTTCTTGGAGCAGGTCTATCAGCATAATTTTTCCAACAGCATTTGCTCACTTCTTGTCTCTGTGTCTTATTTTGTCAATTCTCACAATATTTCAAACCCTCCACTGGCAGAAAGACGATGACTCGCTGAAGGCTCAGATGATGGCTAGCATTTTTTAGCAATAAAGTATTTTTAAATTAAGGTATGTGCATTGTTTTTTCAGACACTATTGCACACTTAGTAGACTATAGTAGAGTGTCAGCATAACTTTTTTCTTTTTATTTTTTTAGCCTTTTATTTTATATTGCATTATAGCTGATTAACAACGTTGGGATAGCTTCAGGTACAGCAAAAGGACTCAACCGTACATATACATCAATATAACTTTTGTATGTACTGGAAAACCAAAAGATTCATGTAGTTCACTTTATTATGACACTCGTTTTATCAGGGTGGCATGTGCCTGTAAGGCAGTCCTTCCCAGCACACACCCTAGGGAGAGACTTGCACTGTAGTACATAGCAAATTGTTGACTGAGTGCAGCCTTGTTTGAAGTAGAGAAAAATTGGAAACAGCCTAAATGTCCATCAGTCAGAGGCTGGCTAAATAAACTGGGACTTACTGTAGGATGGAACATTTTGTCTCCACTTAAAAAAAAAAAAAGCTAAGTGACTAATTGTGCGTAAGCGTAGCTGGACCTTAAAGACCTATTACTGAGTGAAAAAAATAAGTTGAACAAATACATACAGTATTCCAGTTTTTAAACACATACACAAAACAATTCTATATATTTTCAGTAGCACAAACATATATGTACAAATGCAAAGGGAATATATGCACAGAAATTCTTAAACTGGCTCCCTGGGGCAGGACGGGGAGTGAGATGGAGCAAGAAGGCAGTGAATGACTATGTTAGTTTAGGGACTTCCCTGGTGGTCCAGTGCTTAAGACTGCCTTCCAGTGTAGGGTGTGTGGGTTCGATTCCTGGGTGGGGAGCTAAGATCTTCATGGCCAAGAAACCAAAACATTAAACAGAAACAGTATTGTAACAAATTCAATAAAGACTCTAAAAATGATCCACATCGAGGAATCTTTAAAAAATAAATCAGCTTCCTGGGTGGGGAGCTAAGATCTTCATGGCCAAGAAACCAAAACATAAAACAGAAACAGTACTGTAACAAATTCAATAAAGACTCTAAAAATGATCCACCTCGAGGAATCTTTAAAAACTAAATCAGCTTAGCTGTAATGCTCTCTCTTTTAACTAAGGATGTGTATGTGTGTTAGTCGCTCAGTCGTGTCCGACTCTTTGTGACCCCATGGACTGTGACCCAACAGCTCTTCTGTCTGTGGGGTTTCCCAGGCAAGAATACTGCAGTGGGTAGCCATTCCCTTCTCCAGGGGATCTTCCCGACCCAGAGATTGAACTCTCCCACACTGCAGGCAGATTCTTTACCACCTGAGGCACCAGGGAAACCCCTTATCTCCACAGCCAGGAACTTGCTGACCTGCTCTAGGCTTGGACCTTGACCTTCAGGGACTGCCCCCTTTGGAGGAAGTCATGAAGGCATCCTGCGTCCAGAAACAGGCTCTGCCTCTTATCTTGGCTGGTCTCTGCCTATCTTATCGATGAACCCTGCTCTGAAGTATTGATTTTTTTTTTTATTATCTTTCCTAGGAAATCATCGCCATTAAAGAGGCCTACCAAAGGTGTAAGTGACCTTTTGCTCCGACTTTAGATAAAGAATGCTTCTTGCAAACTACCTCTGGGAAGCTAAATCTGCTTCCTCTCCTCCTTTCTTCTTCCCCTAAAGTGTTTGACAAGAGCCTTGAATCAGATGTCAAAGGTGATACAAGTGGAAGCCTAAAAGGAATTCTGGTCTCCCTGCTACAGGTAAGAGTAAAGATGCTTTATGATCTTGAGAAATAGCCCTTGGCAACAGGCAACCATGATATAAAAGGCAATGTAGATAATAAACATTTCCTTCTCTTATTAAACTGCTACGGGTGAACCACCAACCTGTCTTCTGTCCATCCAGCTCTTCTGAAATTATTCAGTGGAGATTTCCCCCCTCGTAACAATCTGCCTTGTCATTTGCAGTGTACAATCCCTTTCTGTTAGTGAGTCATCTCATTAAGCATTGCCATTTCACTTTGCCAGTAAGGAACCTCTAGGTGTATACACAGTAAGACATAGCCCGGGAGCAAGAGCCAACTCATCTGACCCCAAATAGGGTCCTTTTCATGATACAATTAACTTCCAGGCTTCACCCTGAGTCTAGGCCTGTAGGAACCACTTGGCCAGGAAAGCAGGGTTTTCAGAACTGTCCCTGCGAGGATGCAGCCCCCGGGCCTCCAGCCAGATGGCCTCTGCCCTCTCGCTGACACACCCATCTTTCTGAGCTTTCTGTTTCCTCTGATTACTCTCCACGTGGAGAGATCAATAGCAGAGAACACAGAGTAAGCTTGAGCTATAGCAGGAAGACTATACAAATGCTCTTCTGCTGCATAACAAACTACTGCAGACTTAGCAACAACACGGATCTATAATCTAGCAGCTTCCATGGGCCAGGGCTCCTGTTACAGGTTAGTTGAGTCCTTGGCTCAGGGTCTCAATGGGCTGGAATCACGGGCTGCCGTCTCCTGTGAGGCCTGGGGTCCTCTCCTAAGCTCACTGGCCGTTTTCAGATTTCAGTTCTCTGTGGCTGTAAGACTGATGTTCCTGTTTTCTTGCTATCTGTCAACTAAAAAGACCCTCAATTCCTAGAGGCTACACAGTCCCCTGTTATGTGGCCCCAGAGAGAGTTCAGAGCATGGCTATATGGTTTCTTCCAGACCAGTGTGAGCTCATCTCTCTGACTTCTTCCATTTCTGACCTCTCAGAGCTCACCTGATTGGGTCAGACCTACCCAGGACAACTGATTAGGCACCTTAATTACATCTGCAAACATCCCTGGTGCCACATAAACATAACACGATCGCAGGGGTGATACCTCACCATGTTTACAGGTCTTGCCCACACTCGAAGGGAGGGGATTAGACAAGAGGGTGGGCCATCGGGCTCACCTTAGAATTCCACCTGCCACTAAGTGCTTTCATGAGACCTCCAAGACCTTCCATGACCAACATCCGGGTTCTTCAGAACGGGGACCCTGAGAGGTGCAACTTGATATTTTGGAAGGAAAATGGATAGCTTCCCAGCAGACTCATTCTAAGGGACATCATGAGGTTTCTTAGAGGTCAGACAGGTTTGTGAGTGACCTGGTTTCTACAAAAAAAAAAAAAAAAGGAAAAATGTGCTGTCACAGAAGCTACTCTGTTTATCAGTTGTGCCCAAAAGAGAACTCCTGGCCAAGAGAAGCCACAAGCAGTTACGAGCCACCTTTCAAGCCTACCAAACTGTAAGTGATTCAGCACTAAGGCAAGGAGTTCACACGGTAACAGAGTCTCAAGTTATTTTTAAAAGAAGCCGAGATCTGGGATGCGGAACTGAGTGGTGTGAGCAGGGGCGAAGGTGTCTTTTATAACAGTAGTTCTCAACCACAGATGATTTTGCAAATCCTAGGGGATATTTGGGGCTTCCCAGGTGGCGCAGTGGTAAAGAATCCGCCTGCCAATGCGGGAGATGCAAGAGACTCAGATTTGATCCCTGGGTTGGGAAGATTCCCTGGAAGAGGGCATAGCAACACACTCCAATATTCTTGCCTAGCGAATCCCATGGACAGAGGAGCCTGGTGGACTACAGTCCCGGGGTCACAGAGAGTTGGACGTGACTGAGCACACANGAGAGTTGGACATGACTGAGCACACACACACACACACACACACACACACACACATACACACACACATGCACACAAGGGATTATTTGATCATGTCTGGAAAGATGTCATAACCAGGTGTGTTGGGGGGAACAGTGCTATTGGCATCTAGAGGGTCAAGACCAGGGATGCTGTTAAACATCTCACAGTGAACAGGACAGCTCCCCACAACAGGCAACCATTTGGCCCGAATGCAGTGCTTAGGCTGGGAAACCCCACTTTGCAGCAGAGGCTAGGACAGCAGGTCAAGATTAGGAGCAAAGCCCTGGAGTCAGAGGGCCCAGGTTCAAATCCTGGTTTTACTGTAACAAGTGAACAGACGTCTCCATCCTCATTTGTGAAAAGAGACCCTGAACATCATCTTTCCAACCTCATGGGATTATTTTAAGAGTTAAATAAGATGAATATAAAAGGCTCAGGACAGTATCTGGCTTGTAGTAAGCATACAAATGTTTGCCCTTATTTTTATTCCAATTGACAACTGGCTAGACAGTGCCTGAGACAGATACAGTAATACCTCAGAGATACGTTCCTGAAAAGATGTGTACAAATTGCTCTTATACAATTATTTTTTAATCTGATGATCATTTTCAGCCAACAAGGTGAGTTAGCTATTTCAAGGCACTTAGTAGTTAGTCCTTCCCTGAAAATCAGTCTTTAATTCCAAGAAGGCTTTTGTGGAATATCAGATATTTTGGGGTCTAGTATTTTTTATTTGTGGAGTGTTTTTAACTATTCAAAGCACATCTGTGCCCTGTGTCTCATTTCAATTTCACAACAATACTGTAACTCGAATGTAGGCTCAACAGCCATTGTTACCCACAACTGCTGGACAAGGGAAGTCTGTTATGAGTAAGGAGCCATCTGTAACTTATCAGGACCACACAGTAAGTCAGTAGCAGAAAGTGGATGAGAGCTCCAAGATTCCCCAGCCTGAGCTCCTACCTCGGCTAGAGCTGGCCGCTCCTCACTCAGAATAGCGTTTCCGACGTGTTGCCAGCAGATGAAAAGACAAGAAAGCTTTGGAATTTTATCATTACTGTATATAAGCCTTTAGGGCCCTCTGCTTTCAAATTGTGCCCAGAGTCCTGATCAAAGGCAGCTCACCCTGAACTCCCCTGGCCTTTGGGCCTGGAGCTAAGTAGCCTGAGCTGGAAGACTTCTCCATGACCTAGAGCCTCTTCCCATTAGACAGGGGCCATGGATGGAGTTTCTGGAGTGGTTGTCATTGGGCATCACTATAGAAATACACATACATGTGTGTATGCACATGTGTGTACACATGAGTTACTGACAATCTAAGGATACTCCCTAAGCCAATTGTTCTTAAAGTTAATCCTGAATCAGCTGAATCAGTATCACTTGAGAACATGCTTAAAACAAGAATTCTTAATCCCCACCCTGGATCAACTGAACCAGATTCCCTGAGGTTGGGGTCCTACAATCTGTGTTTTAATAAATCTTCTAGATCCTGAAGCATGTTAAAGTTTAAGAAGTCTGCTCTAGGCTACTAGCTGTATGACCGTGGGCAAATTACTAAGGGTTCTGTGCCTCAATTTCCCCAACTGTAAAATAGGGATAATAATGTACCTGCTTCACAGAGTTAGTAAGGATTAAATGAATAACAGATTTAAAGCATTTACTGCTTGGCATGCAGTAGATGCTCAGCTAACATTAGCAGTTAGTAGGAGTCTCCCTGTGTGAACCAATAGCATCAAAAAACAGCTGAAACTCAAATGGAAAATAAGATAATCTACTGATCTGAGGATTCTTTACATGAAATCAGCTTTAAAATGCTATTAATACCTATTCGTTTATTCCAAAAACCTCGCTGGAACATCATTCATCTTGATCTTTATCACTGATTTTGAGGGTTCACCATGACCATGATCTCAGGAATCTGGCTCCATAAATTTTCTCATGGTCTCTGGCTAAAAGCACTAATATGCTAGAGTCAGATCATTGATGTCTATTATGCGACATAGGTTGTGCTGGCATAGAGTTGAATTTTAATTTTTGGCACAAAAACTTTGCCCTTGATTTGTCCTCTAAACTTGAGTCTTAACTGCTGACGCTGTCAGAAATCCCAGCCCAAACAACAAAGCTTCCCAACTGTGCTGCATCATGAAAAGTTATTACTCTTCACAAGTCTACCAAACATGACAGGCTTACAGAGTTATGATGTGCCAAACAGGGCTCAGTATAAATTGTAGGTACACATACCCTCAGCCCCAGGTCACTTCCTCCCCACCGCACCCCTCACCACTTCTCCCCTCCCTTTCCAGAGTTTTTCTAAGCCCATTCCAGAGTTTTTAGCCCTTTAACTTTTATAATTAAAACCAGAGTGCCTATGATTCTGCTGGGGGCATGTGGTCAATCAGGGCGCAGGTTTTAAAAGAAAAAAGTATCTCCCCTATTCTTCTAATAATCTCTCCACAGACAATGCTGCCTGGTAAACTAGAAGCCTCTGAGGCTTGTCTGGAATCCACCCTGGCAATGTGTTTTTGTACTGAGATCACAAAACCTGGTTTTGTCCAAAGAGCCCCCTAAGAATTAAGTGTTCCAGTGGGAAGCATGCCATTTGCAAAGGAGAGTCCTAGTACCTTGGGCCAGTGGATTGTTTCCCATTTGTGTTCAGTGGAGCCTCTGGAGGTGCTTTGGGAGCTATCAGGAGGAGATAGGGTCAAGAGACAGGCAGAGAAGAAAGGACAATGCCATCTCCTTGTAGCTCATAAATAGCGCCCCCTGGAGATGAGCAGCGATGAGACTCAGAGAATGGGAACCTGGCGTCTAGGGCTGGGGTCAGGAACCCCTCCCCCACCTCCCTAGAACAGCTCTGCTTTCCTGCTTTTATCTGTTGAGTAGACTGAGATGCTATAGAAAATTAAAAAACACTGTTCTGGCCCAGTATTAACAATAAAAACAGAAAGTGGTTTAGTGTGAGGATTTTTTTTTTTTTTAAGTAAACACAGACCTGTGTGAATACAATCTCCTTTTGTAACACAACCTCCTTCAACAGAACAAGAACGCTCTTCATGGGAAAGTGAGAGCGGTTTCTTCTGAAATACTAGCTCCCGCATCCAACCCCTAAACAACTGAGGACAGCTAAGAAAGGGACAGGACTGAAAGCCCCCCCAACCCAACTCCCATCTTATCTAGGTCCACTCCACACCAAACCTCTAGATGGGCCAACTATGATGAGGCGATCAAGCGACGGGTTCATTAAATTCAGACCCTCCTCCCCCGCATCCATCGTGCTCCCACCACAAAGAATATGTTGTTTACCAGGATTTTCAGAATAAGCTCCGCTGGTGTGTCCTCAAGGGCCCCGGTTATTTATAGACTCACAGTTGTGTCATATCCTCAAAAGATAATTTCTAGGAAAGAAGTTTCAGTATTTCTAATGCTTAACTGCATTTCCCAAACCTGAAGGTTCTCCTTTCTCTTTATATGCCTGCCCTGAGCTTGGACCAGGCAGTACTTGTGCTAAGTGTGGTCACAATTTACTCTAAACTTCAGCTTCTATAAATATTTGGAAGAAAACCTAACATGTAATGCTAGCAGAATGATAGGCGAGCTGGGAGTGACTATAAGATCATTCGGAGTCTCCCCAGAGGGAAGGAAATTGGCATTTGACATGGTCAGCCCCCCTACACGTCCCCCACCCTGCTCCTAGCCCACGTAGCCCCATCGTATCAGAAACATTAGACCGAGTCCTTGCCGCGAACTTCACGGCCTCTACCTGTGTCGCCCAGACTGTAGCCGCCTGAGCTCCCAGTCTCAGTTTACAATGGAGGAGATGATTATAACCACAGCCTCCTGAAAAACTGGAAATGGAAAGAGTTTTTATAAACACATAGGAAACAAGTACTATAGAAACACAAAGAATGTTGTTTCGGTATTTATTCATTGTTCTTCCACTCCCTGATTCTTACGGAGGAGGAAACTGAGGCTGCGGGAGTGGTCCTGCCTGGGGTCACGTCCATTAGTGGTCAAATCTCCCTCGGCCGTGAGAGTCCCCACTCGAATGGTGGGGGAGTACCACCCCCAGCCCTGCAAGGGATGAGGCCAGGTGGGAGTTTCAAAGTTTCCTTGGTCCTTGCATGACCAAATCTGGGTGAGTCTTTTCATGGAGGAACAAGCCTCTAGTGCACCACGGCCAAGAGCAAAAGCTGGACTAACAGCAAGACTTTCTCTCTCCAGCTCATCGGCAAAGACATCGAAGAGGCCATTGAGGCAGAAACATCAGGAGACCTGCAGAAGGCCTACTTAACACTCGGTAAGTAAAGCCAGGAGAGCCCCTGACTTCGGTAAGGCTCCCTGGAACCAGACTCAGAGACAGAGGTTTGCGTTCAGGAAGACTTCAGGTAATAGTCTGGGAAACACAGCACATCTAAGCAGCCTTGGGAAGGGAGAGAATGGGTGTAAGGCAGCTGCAACTGGAACTTTTCTGGTCCCCAGGAAGCCCTGAAATCAGGATGTCTGAAGTTGAGGCAAGGGTCCCAGGCCTTTGCACCCCACACCAAGCAGCTGGCTGGCTGCAGCCGCGGGGCACGTGCGGCCTTGGGGAAGCCACCTGCCTGCTTTGACTCGTAATGCGTATGACCCAGCCACTCCCTCCCTCCTGAGAAGCTGCTCAGCTGTGAGCAGCCAGCGTGTAACACTTTGCCTGAGTGCCACGGTCCTGAAGACAGAAGCTTTGGGGCACACCACAGCACCCACTACGGTCCCACTAGGACTGTGGGTTCCCAGCAACAACCATCAGCAGCCGGAGACCACTGTCTAGTCTCAGGGCAGCATGGGCTCACACAACATACACTCAAAAGCACTCAGGTTCTGATCCGTGAACAAGTTTTCTCAGGTGCCTGATGGCTCGAGGGTGACCTTTGCCATTTGTTTCCCTTCAACACTGGGATGAATGAAGTCTGTTTAGAAAGCAAGGGGGAGGAGAGCAGATCATAGCCATGCCAAGCAGACGCCAGGCCCTTCTCTCCAGGCGTTGCCCGTAAGGCAGGAAATAGCAGAGAGATGGGTACTGGGCTGTGACTGGCAGGCTCCTTTCTCATGTCTGCAAGTCCTGGAAGGAAGGCATTGTCCATTGTCCACACTCTGGTGGCGCAGAGGCCAGGGCAGCATCCCAAATGGCACAAGAAATGGAGAGAATATCCCCAGAAGAAGAGCAAGAACCAAAAAAGCAGCCCCTGGAAGCTAAAAAATGTCCTCTTGCTGCCAAACTCTTTTGTTTTGCTTTTTTTTTGATGGGATTTTTGGGAGCAATGTCAGCAATTGATTATTTTTTTAATCCATCAACATTTTGCATTCAAACTAGCAGCTCTGCTGTTGTGATCCGATACAGAGGCCTGAGCATCCTTGATGTTGCTCCTGTCCCACTATGGATACACACAGATGACTGTCCTTAGGATTTTAAGGATGACTGTCTCAAGTAAACAGAGAGATCTACTCATGGCCCAGCTACAAGGCTCCAAATCCTTTCTGTACTTGCAGTTGTAAAGAATTAGGAAAACACCAGAATTCAGTCAGAAGTTTAATATCAATCTTTATTGATATTAAGTATTAATGGTAATAAAACCATTCAAGTTTATAACATTTACTTAGCATCTGCCTGGGCCAGGGGTTGTGCCAGGCATGGGAATTAGTGGGAAATAGGTCCAGTTCCTCTTCTTAAGAAGCAACAAGGTTATGACAAATACACACAAATCAATGGACTGAGCTATAGTAAAGATAAAAATGGGCTTCTCTGATGGCTTAGCAGGTAAAGAATCCACCTGCAAAGCAGGAGACACAAGAGATGCGAGTTTGATCCCTGGGTCAGGAAGATTCCCCTGGAGAAGGAAATGGCAACCCCTTCCAGTATTCTTGCCTGGAAAATCCCCATGGACAGAGAAGCCTGGCAGACTATAGTCCATAGAATTGCAAGGAGTCAGACACGACTGAGCACACGTGCATAAGCACAAATGCTCACAGATAAAAGCAATTAGAGCAAAACAAGTAGAGAGGAAGGAAAGAGCCCATTCCGACAGCTGGGGGACAGTGAAATGCAGTAGTTAGGTGGACTCCCCTAGCAGCAAATAAAAAAGAGATCAGAAAAGACCTTGAAAATGAACCACAAAGAGAGTGGAACATGATTCCATAACTAAATTCTCTAGACACTTCCCCACCCTGCTCCTGCCTAACTTGTAAAGATGCCAGTGTGAAGTTAAAATTGAGGAGGAGGTGTTTATGAGACCAGACGGTTCCCCTGCTCACAGTCTCTGGAACAGCTGTTCTCAAAGTGGGGTCTGACGACACCCTGCATCAGAACCACCTGGGGGAAGATGTGAAAATGCAGTTTTCAGAGTCCCAGTCCAGGTCACCCACTTAGAACTTGCAGGAATTCAGCCCAAAGCCACACCTTTACAAGCTCCCCGAGTGGTTGTCTTACTTTCCCTGGAGTTTGAGAATCCCTGCTCTGCATGCCCAGAGGAGCAGGGGACACAGCAGGGCATCTGGCTGCCCTGAACACACAGCCACAAACAGTTTTATTCCCATATCCTCCTGAGCTGTGTGACCATGCATGCTAAAGTGCTTTAGTCGTGTCTGACTCTGCGTGACCCTATGAACTGTAACCCACCAGGCTCCTCTCCACGGGATTCTCTAGGCAAGAATACTAGAGTGGGTTGCCATGTACTCCTCCGAGGAATCTTCCCGATGTAGGGATCAAACCCGCATCTCCTGTGACTCCTGCTTTGCAGGTGGGTTCTTTACCACTGAGCCGTCTGGGAAATCCTCCCAAGCTAGTCTCATCCAAACTTTGGGGCATTCCTGCAGCTGTGAGCAGCAGGGCTTGTTCACCAGGCATAACCCATACACAGCAGCAAAGTTGGGAATTTTCTCCCCAAAATATCAGGAAGAAGGAATTCAGGGGAGAAGTCACCACCAGTGTAGGCTCAGAACACACTGACACCAGGCAGATGATTATTTCAACATCAATTAATACAAATGCGTGGCACAGCGTCCTCAGGAAAATCTTGTGAGGTCACCAGCTCAGAATGCCTGGGAGGGGGATGCCACAGTGAGTCTCAGATACGCTACTCCTCAAATTGCCAGGTTCACCCCCAAATCCACCACCAATTCAGCAGCTTGTGGATTCAGATGCTTGGGTCTGGGCTTCTCCACTGACACTCTGCTGGCTACCACATAACCCAAAAAATAAGGAGACAGACCCCCAAGCCAGACTCTGCTTTCCTAGTTCTGTTCCTCCTCTGGCCTGTAAGCATCAAGTCCATTATCAATTACCTAGAAAACAAGAGTTCTCATTACAGGACATGGTAAGGATGTGCATTCCACACTTATGCTGCATCTATTCCTTATTACCTATCCTTAACATCAAAAACTGATGCTTTTGAACGGTGGTGTTGGAGAAGACTCTTGAGAGTCCCTTGGACTGCAAGGAGATCCAACCAGTCCATCCTAAAGGAGATCAGTCCTGGGTGTTCATTGGAAGGACTGATGCTGAAGCTGAAACTCCAATACTTTGGCCACCTCATGCGAAGAGTTGACTCATTGGAAAAGACCCTGATGCTGGGAGGGATTGGGGGCAGGAGGAGAAGGGGACGACAGAGGATGAGATGGCTGGATGGCATCACCGACTCAATGGGCATGTGTTTGAGTAAACTCCGGGAGTTGGTGATGGACAGGGAGGCCTGGCGTGCTGCAATTCATGGGGTCGCAAAGAATCAGACACAACTGAGCGACTGAACTGAACATCAAAAATGTTCATTGTTCTAGGCAAAATATCAACAATATAAACAGAAAAGAGTTCATTCCCCCAAACTGTTAGAATCCTATGAACCTGGGAGGAGGGGGACAAACCAAGATTTATCCCTAGGAGCAGAGGTACACCCCATTCCCTGGTGGGTGAATAGAGACCATACTTTGTTCATCTGAGGACTAGATCATACTTCATTCATTTCTGACTGGGGCAGGGCTCGAAAAGAGCAATTAGCAGCATCACAGGAAGATGCTGTGTAGACAGGACTAAATATTTCATCAAGCCCACATTCCAGACCACACACGATGAAGGGTGTGGGGATTTCAGAAAAGATTCAGAGATGAAGCTCACACCTAAAACCCAGTGATGAAAAACGAAGGGAAGGAAGTTTGCTTAGCACGGCAGGCCAGAGGATCACAGTGCAACTGAATCAGTCTTCAAGATGACCAAGTTTTATTACGGAGAGGTTGCCAGCCAGCCTGTGTTCCCCCTTGGGGGCTTCCCTGGTGGCTCAGTCGGTAAAGAATCCACCTGCAACGCAGGAGACCTGAGTTTGATCCCTGGGTCAGGAAGATCCCCTGGAGAAGGGAATGGCAACCCTCTCTGGCATTCTTGCCTGGAAAATTCCACGGACAGAGCAGCCTGGCAGGCTACAGTCCATGGAATCACAAGAGTCGGACATGGCTTAGAGACTAAACCACCACTGTGTTTCCCCTCTAGACCTGACTCTGGCAGAAATCAGAGATTTCTCTTAAAGATGAGAAGGCATTTCTACTGGTGAGAATTGTGAAAATTGCAGGGAGAGCCTGAGGGTGCCCACAACGCTCCCCCTCCTCCCCAGGGTCTTCAGGGAATAGAAGAGGTTCTTATGTGTCTGAAGGGGACTTGGTTGAAGAGACGGGTGCCCTGACTGTGGGGGAACCTTCCAGATCCTTTACCAACAGTGTGAAGTCTGCGCCTTTCAAAGGTCATGACTCCATCCGCTCCAAGGGCACCCAGCTCTGCTCCTCGTCAGCGTCTCTCTGTTCTTGAACAAAACGTGACCGCCTCATGCCCTCTTTCCCTCTGTCCCGCGCAGTGAGGAGTGCCCGGGACCTCCAGGGCTACTTTGCTGACCGTCTGTACAAGTCCATGAAGGGTGCGGGCACCGACGAGGAGACCCTCATTGACATCATTGTGACCAGGGCTGAGGTAAGACGCATTTGGCTCCACCTTCTTGTTTTGCCACCACGGATGTCATCAACAGGTCATTTTCATTAAGAGTCTATCTACAGAGACGGCCCTTGCTTCCCCAGACTTTGTGGAGGACATTGTGCTGGGCTCCATTCAGTTTCTTTTTATAAAAATACAATAACGAGAGCGGCTTCTATGTCTTTTCTTTTTTCGTCTTTGTTTTCCTGCACTGCGGGGCATGTGAGATCTTAGTTTCTGGACCAGGGATCAAACCCATGCCACCTGCAGTGGAAGTGCAGAGTCTTGACCACTGGACCCCCAGGGAAGTCGGCAGCTTCTATTTCTGCCATCGGTGCCTCCAGAGAGCGCGGGGTGGTGTGTGGAAGGGACCTGGAGGTGCTGGTCAGGGTAGCGAAGCTCATTTTTAAGGGCTTCCCTGGTGGCTCAGATAGTAAACAATCTGCCTGCCACGTGGGAGACCCTGGTTCAATCCCTGGGACAGGAAGATCCCCTGGAGAAGGCAATGCCTACCCACTCCAGTATTCTTGCCTGGAGAATTCCATGGACAGAGGAGTCTGGTGGGCTACAGGCCAGGAGTTGCAAAGGGTTGGACACGACTGAGCGACTAACACTTTCACTTAGCAACAGACTGGTCACCCAGCAGCAGAGACTTTGCAAGTCCTTTCCAGACTCCTGAGTTAGGCCTTTATTTCCTTAAACACACCCCCGAAGCACAATTCTGCACAAAAACCACGTCAGTACAAGACAAGGTTTCCCAGTCTTTTTTAAAATTAGTGATCCCCGCACGAGGGAACCTTTTTAGACCTCATTTTTTCCTAATCCTTATTCCCCTCCAAGAAATGTTAACATGGCATACATTGTATATCTATTTAGGTTCCTTATGTATATATATAGTTACATTTACATTAAAAGATTCAGATTTTTTTTCAGCCTCTAAGAACCAATTTTGCCCCTTTGGGGAGCATTATCACCCATCTCTGAGAATGCCTGAGCATAACAAAGGCCCAAGGAGAGGAATAGCCAAAAAAGCTTGGAAACAACTGTCAAGACTCAGATTCGGAATTCAGGGCCACAGAGAGGAGGAGTTACCGAGGAGAGGGGAAGTGGCATTTCATCCACAGCAGAGAGACCTTGGAGAGGGAAGTGGAACTTGAAAACCACTGACATCTTCCCTCAAAAACACCCTGGTGGCTCAGATAGTAAACAATCTGCCTGCCACGTGGGAGACCCTGGTTCAATCCCTGGGACAGGAAGATCCCCTGGAGAAGGCAATGCCTACCCACTCCAGTATTCTTGCCTGGAGAATTCCATGGACAGAGGAGTCTGGTGGGCTACAGGCCAGGAGTTGCAAAGGGTTGGACACGATTGAGCGACTAACACTTTCACTTAGCAACAGACTGGTCACCCAGCAGCAGAGACTTTGCAAGTCCTTTCCAGACTCCTGAGTTAGGCCTTTATTTCCTTAAACACACCCCCGAAGCACAATTCTGCACAAAAACCACGTCAGTACAAGACAAGGTTTCCCAGTCTTTTTTAAAATTAGTGATCCCCGCACGAGGGAACCTTTTTAGACCTCATTTTTTCCTAATCCTTATTCCCCTCCAAGAAATGTTAACATGGCATACATTGTATATCTATTTAGGTTCCTTATGTATATATATAGTTACATTTACATTAAAAGATTCAGATTTTTTTTCAGCCTCTAAGAACCAATTTTGCCCCTTTGGGGAGCATTATCACCCATCTCTGAGAATGCCTGAGCATAACAAAGGCCCAAGGAGAGGAATAGCCAAAAAAGCTTGGAAACAACTGTCAAGACTCAGATTCGGAATTCAGGGCCACAGAGAGGAGGAGTTACCGAGGAGAGGGGAAGTGGCATTTCATCCACAGCAGAGAGACCTTGGAGAGGGAAGTGGAACTTGAAAACCACTGACATCTTCCCTCAAAAACATGTTAAATGAGGGGGAAGAGATACCAACCCAAATTCTGGCCCCCATATTTCTGACAAATAATACTTAACATCTGACACTGTTTTGAAACATAACTTAGCAACACGACCGTTCTTTCGTTTTTATTTCTATTCCTGGAATTTCTCCTCCCTCTCTCCTCCTCCACGATTGATTCATATTTCCTTTTCTCTCCTAAAGCCCCTGTCCTTTCCTCCTCCTCGCTCCCTCCCCCAGTCTCTCTGCCGCCCTCTTCACTTTGTTTTGGCTGCTCTTAATCTCTCTCTTTCCCTAATCTCTCTAGGTCTCTGCCTTCTCTGTCTCTCTGTCTCTTGGTATCTCAAGCCCAGTCAGAGTCTCTGGAGATCCTGGGACACTCCTAGGAGCAGGTTGGTGACAAAGGCCAGTGAGGATGCCAAAGACCCCAGGGGTTGGAGCTCTCCAAGTGATCCTCAGGGTGCCATGTTCACTCCAGCATGCATGGAGTGTTTATTCCAACATGCTCTATCCTAGCTCAGGGCTGACCACAGGCCCTGGGTCATCTCCACATGGGGACCATTCCCTCAGAATGCTTTGGGCCCAAACAGTTATATTGGCCAGATCCCCTAGTCCCCCAAAGCTGCCTGATACTAGAACGGAGCCCAGGAGAGCCCCATCCCGTCCCTGCACTCGCCCCTCTCCCCCAGTCAAGCAGCCTGCCAGCCAAGGGAGCAGGGGACATGAGCCACCTGCTGATCTCTTGCACACCATCCACTTCCAACAATTCCTCACTCTCCTACCCTCTCCTGCTCACCTTTCTGTCTCCTGTTGGGCCCTCTAATTGGGGTAGGAGAAAAAAAGAACCAGAAACCTGAGCAATTGTTTGTGGGTCTCTCTAGAAAGCCCTTCCCAGGTGGCACTCATGGTAGAGAATCTGCCTGCCAGTGTAGGAGATGCAAGAGATGCAGGTTTGATCCCTGGGTTGGGAGAATCCCCTGGAGGAGGAAAATGGCAGCCCACTCCAATATTCTTGCCTGCAGAATTCCATGGATAGAGGAGCCTGGTGGGCTACAGTCTATGGAGTCACAAAGAGTTGACATGACTGAGCGACTGAACAAACACTAGAAAGCAAGATATAATCTAATTTAAAAACAATAATGATAACAAACAAAATTGCAAACAAAACCCAAAAAAATTCCTGGTTAAAGAGAGCTCTGTGCTTCTTTTATGAGACTCCCTGTATTCTATCTGGAATTATATCTTCCATGGCACAACTATTATCTCCTTTACTAGGTTGTAAGAGTCTTTAGAGCAAAACAATCTTTTTATTTGTGTTTCTTAAGTCCTTTCTCCACCTCCAGCACCTAGATGTTACCTTTTCAAGTTTTTCAGTTGATCCTTGAACAACACAGATTTGAACGGTGTGGGTGCCCCCATATGCAGATTTTTTTTCAATAAATAATAGTACCTGTGCTCTCATTTTACGGATCTTTAAATTAACCAAGTGTGAGGAAAAGTTTGTATTTCCTTGTTATTTTGTCACTAAGTGTTGTCTATTCTTTTGTGACCCCATGGCCTGCAGCCCGCCAGGCTCCTCTTTCCAGGGGATTTCCCAGGCAAGAACACTGGAGTAGCTTGTCATTTCCTTCTCCAGGGAGCCTTCCCAACTCAAGGATGGAACCCAGGTCTCCTGCATTGGCAGGCTGATACTTTACCACCACGCCACCAGGGAGGCCCTTGTGTTCCCTTAGAGATCACAATATGTAGCATCAGAAGAACTAAGGTTTGAGGCCTGATTCTATGCAAACTGTTTCAGTTTCCTGCCCTTGTAGGAGTCATTGACCAATTCTTTCATTTTTGAGGCAGAGGTAGCAATACACAGATTCTAGACTGCCTGGGAGTCAGTGTTCCTAATTCCTGTATTGTCAAGGGTCAATTGTAGATTCAAAATTAAGTCCTACAAATTGATGATGATTTGAATTTTGTTATTTGGCACTAATATCCTTGCTGATCAGGGCATAAGAGACAAAAGAAAAAAGACTTCATTTCAAACTGTGTTGACAATTTTCTTAACTTTATACTAAGAGTCATCAGAATGTGGCCTGCAAGTTTAATCAGGCTCACCATTCATTTTTATACAGCCCTATTATCAGAACGTGATTATTTTAAAGTAACTGTATAAAAACCTCAAAGGAAAAATAATATTTTTGTAAACATAAAGTCATATGAAATTCAAGTTTTAGTGTCCATAAACCAAGCTGTATTTGAACATACACACAGACACACAGACACCTCTGCCACCTTTGGGGAGCTGAACTCAGCTTTCTTTTTCTCAGCTACAAAATAGGAAGAATAATAACTCCAACTCCAAGGGCTGCTCTGAGGCATAAACGAGCAAGTGAGAATAATGTGCTCAGAACAGTGGCTGCCTGTGTTTGTGGTGAAAACACTATAAACATCACATTGGCTATCGTCTCTCTTACAGACGGACCTTCAGGGGATAAAAGCCAGATTCCAAGAGAAGTACCAGAAGTCTCTCTCTGACATGGTTCGCTCAGACACCTCTGGGGACTTCCAGAAGCTTCTGGTCGCCCTCTTGCACTGAACCAGCCCAGCGCAGCAGGAGCAGAGGATGGAACCTTTGTTGAAAACCTCTCCCAAACCAGATTTGCAAATACAACTCCAGCATGAAACACCCTCAAGGGTCCTGGTTTATTTCCTTGGCAGCTTGAGGCAAGTGGCCAGGCCAAGCTGCTTACGTTAAGGGCAGCAACCTCGAGATGCTTGAATTGATCACCTTGAATGCTGGCTTAGTGAGTACCTGGGCAGTCTCTTAACTTTCCTTGAGGGTAATAACTGAACGCTTTCTAAGCACAAATAAAATCTGCAGTTGATGAAAAAAAGTATGCATTCGTAATAAAACCTTTAGAAAAACATGTCATACAGGGCATGGATGTTTTGGGTAAAGAGAGACTAGGTGAAGTACAAGAAAGACAAAATTAAGCAATTCATTCATTTTCCCTCTGTGTACTCAGTTTCAAATCCTCAATGTTAATTAAAGGTGTGGATTATGCCTTCATCAGCTGCTTTTTCAAAGACTGGGTTGATTTCATTTTGGCTTTTGTCCGGGAAACATGTGACTTGTGAAATTCAAACATATTTGGAAAATGCAAACAGTTACATTTATGAATAATCACCAAGGACAGACATGAAGGCCAACAGCAAGGAAACAATGGACTTGTCAATACGAAACGTAATGAAGGGTATAATTCACTGATCTGCTACCTGGTTTAAATGGTTTTTCCTGCTCCTCTAGACAACTGACCCACTTGAGTCTTCTCTCTGATCTTCAAATGCAATCAGGCTGGGCACTGCGCCATCAGGATCAAGGTTAATGGTCTGACTCTTAAATGGATTAATTCTGTACCAATAGCATCTCTGTTCCAAGACGGTTGTCTCATAGCCACGTGCAGCTCCACATAAAGGGGTCTGTCATGAGAACATGGGCACTTTGGTCTAATTATTATAGTCATCCTTCACTGGATGGTTATTTGTGCCTGGCACTGCTAAGTAGCTTACTTTCACATTTAATCTTCCCAACATCCCTTTAAGGTTAATATCGTTACCCATTTATTAGCTGAAGCAGCTGAGACATTCAACAACCTGGCTAAATTCATTCACAAGTGACAGAACTGAGATTTGCATTCAGAGGTGGTTGAGCCGAGAATCCACACTAGTAATTGCTTTTCTTGGGAAAATAACACAAAGCACATGAAAATGAGTCTATATTCATTTACCTGCTTAAGTTCCTAGTGCTTGCCAATCACTGTTGCTGGGTTCTGGGGATACAAAGATAAACAGAATGCTAGCCACACCTTGGGCATTTCATTCCCAGGTCACTGGTGTCGACAGAAGCCTCAATATTCACCAGACCCTGTAAGTACATTAATGGTGGTGACAGTTTAGTCGCTCAGTCGTGTCTGACTCTGTGACCCCATGGACTGTAGCCTGCCAGGCTCTCTGTCCATGCGATTCCCTAGGCAAGAATATGGAATGGGTTGCCATTTCCTTCTCTAGGGGATCTTCCTAACCTGGGGATCAAACCCACGTCTCCTTCATTGCATATAGATTCCTTATCACTGAGCCACCAGGGAAGCCCTATGTACATAAATATGGACATGTAAAGCTCTCCACCCATGAGCAAGAAGAGAACCAGAGCTCCGCCTGGGGGAACAGAGATGCAGTCGTGCTGGGGTTTGAATGCATAGAAATTCTCCAGAAAAAACAAAGAATGACGTGTGTAGAGGCTTGGAAACATGATGGTGCATGATGCGTTCAGGAGGCGGTGAATGCATTCCTCTGGGGCTTGCATGTGGGCAAAAGAAGGAGAGGGTTGGGGAGGCAGGCAGTAAAGCTGCCGAGGTGTACGTTTGGGCCACATCAGCGGTGGCTTTGCTGCCCAAGTGTAGGCTTGGCCCTCTGGGCAATGGTGGCCACTGGGAATGTTTGAGTGACTGAGAGCATGATCAGATTTGGGCCTGGGAAATCACTTTGGTGGTGTGATCACCACAGAGTATATAGCCCAAACATACTGAGCCGTATCTTTCCAGTGGTTGTAAAAGGGTGATCAACAATGAAGAACTTACATTAACATCCCCATCCTCAACGTACCCGTGTATCTACCTACCAGTCACTGCTGTCACCATGAGCTCTAACAGGTAAAATGGCTCGGTGACAAAGCATGCTCATATTTACTTGTTGACAAAGCTGGCCTTTGCTTTTTGAAAAAAACAGAAACAAAAACAACCAGTTCTTGGGATCTGAGCTAACAGTAAGGATAGAAAAAAGGGCTACAAAGAGATCTATGAAAAACTACTGAAAACAGCCATCCTCGAAGAGTGTTAAAGGACACGATTGATGCAAAGAAGAGAGGAAAGGGATTTCACAGGGAAGGAAGCAGGCTGAGGAAGATGGAGAAGCAAAGTCATTTGTTCAAAGTCACCCATAGCATCTTTTCAGGTATTTATTGGCGATCTGTATGTCTTCTTTGGACAAATGTCTGTTTAGGTCTTCTGCCCATTTTTTGATTGGGTTGCTTGTTTTCCTAATACTGAGCTGTATGAGCTGCTTATAAAATTAAATATATATACAAATAGAAATATATATTATATAAATATATTACATACATAAATGTTTATATATAAAAATTTTATGTTTATAAAATTTATATCATACACTTATTTAAAAATTTATATGTATTTACATTATATAAATTTATATTTATAAATTTACATGTGAATTTATAAATATATGTATAATTATATATACTGTATGGCATTAAAAAAAATAAAAGACATTGCAATTATAAAAAAGGTCACACATAAGAATGAATCAGGACCAGAATTCAAACCCAAGTCCTTCTGATCCTGATGTCTGAGCCCTTTGCCACATAAGCTCACGTCCACACGGGGTTTCCCCCAAAGCTTGCTGCAAAAGGCACAAGGCGTCTCCCTGATGGTGCTCACCGCTCACGCTCACAGGCAGAAGCCAGCTTTTTGTGCCTGACCTGGGGGCTGGCTCAGAGAGAACGCCCATCCAGCCTGTCCCCTGAGTGCCCCAGCCTCCAGTCCTCTGGTCTGGAATTCCCTCCTTTTCCCTTGCTACACCCCTGCCCTGTCCAGGGTTCCCCTCCCCGCTCCCCAAGCCCCCACTCTCGGAGGGCGGGCGGCCAGTGGGGAGGGAAAGAGGAGAGGACAAAGGTAGAAGGAGGTGGGGGCAGGCAACCCTGCCGGGTCACCTCCCCTGCCCCCACCCCACTCCCTTCCTCTGGGGCCGCTCACTGGGGACACCCTAGTTCTTGCCACCCAGGGGGTTTGAGGAGGTGGGGAGTGGGTGTGAATCCCTCCTCTGCGGCTGCAGGAAGAGCAGGTCCCATGGGTGCATGGGGTAACTCGCCACCCATGTCCCCGGGCGATTCCCTTCTGGGCCCTGACAGGCTCACCCGCAGAGACTCACCTGGCCACGGCCAGTTGGTGACGCAGACTTTGGGACGCTTGCCTGTGGGAAGCTGGGCAGGAGCTGAGGTTCCCCCTGAGGAGCCAAGAGAGTCCCACAGCCCACCGCGCGTGCTCCAGCTCCCGGCCGCTCCTGCCAGGGGCTCCGGAGCCCCTCATGCAGGCCCACGCTCAGCTTTTGTGGGTCCCAGCCCACCTCCTCGATGTTCCCTTCATGTGGGAATGATGCAGTCCACACACCCCTGTGCCGTCCACGGCCCTGCTGTGAGCCTTGGGGAGAGGTTGGTGCCTGCCTAGAAGCCATCTCAGGGCCCCAACAAAGACAAGCTCTAGAGAAGGGGCTTCAAGCTGCAGGCCAGTGTCTCTCCCCAGCCCCATGCACCCCTCACCCCACAGGAGAACTCCAGCTAGGGAAAGACAGGGTATCTTCCCTGAGAGAGGGGCCCAGAGCAGGGAGTCCTTTCCATGAGCCATTCTCAGCGGCAATGGCCACTTGCCTTCTTACCTTCCTCCAGCTTCCCATCTCTCTCCTCTCAGGAGACTAGAGCCAGCTCAGGCTGCTGGGACCCTGCATGAGCCTTAATCACATCAAATGAGCAAACTACTCGCCTCCATCAACATCCACAGACTGCCATCTGCTGCACAGGAGACTCCACCTAACCAGACCTCTGGGGTCTGACTCAGCCTCAAGGCAGACCACCTTTTGTCATTTTTCTCTTCTTTATTTTGGCTCTTCCCTCACCCGGACTCAGGGTTATCAAAAGCAAGGGGCTGGAGGGCAACTGACTCATTCCTATTCTAATCACGCAACCGGAGCAGAAACAGACAACCTCCCACTAGCCGGGTGCAGTGTTGGGCCGTGAGGATGCAAAGGTGAGTCAATCACACCTGGTTCTGCCCTCAGAGAGCTTCCTGTCCAGGGAGAGACACACAGTTACCAAGAAAACAAAGTGAAAGTGTTAATTGCTCAGTTGTGTCCTAGTCTTTGTGACCCCATGGACCGTAACCCACTAGGTTTCTCTGCCCATGGAATTCTCCAAGCAACAACACTGGAGTGGGTTGCCATTCCCTTCTCCAGGGGATCTCCCTGACCCAGGGATCAAACCCAGGTCTCCCACATTGCAGATAGATTCTTTGCCATCTGAGCCACAAGAGAGCCCAAGTAAACAAACCAAGAGAGAAAATAACCACATATTATGTACCAACAATTAAAGGAGTGAAGTGATGGTTGAGTTTGAGGGACAGAGAAAGGAACCACTTTAAATGTAGCAGTTGGGACCTACTTCTCAGAGGAGGGAGCATTGAACATTAAGACCTAAGGAATAACAGAGAATCACCGATATTGATGTTTTCAATATCATGTGGTGTTGGAGAAGACTCTTGAGAGTCCCTTGGACTGTAAGGAGATCAAACCAGTCAATCCTAAAGTAAATCAACTTTGAATATTCATTGGAAGGACTGATGCTGAAGCTCAAGCTCCAATAATTTGGCCACCTGCTGCGAAGAGCCAACTCATTGGAAAAGAAAACTCTGATGCTGGGAAAGACTGAGGGCAGGAGGAGAAAGGGGTGACAGAGGATGAGATGGTTCGATGGCATCACCGACTCAATGGACATGAGCTTGAGCAAACTCCGGGAGATAGTGAAGGACAGGGAAGCCTGGTGTGCTGCAGTCCATGGGATCATAAAGAGTTGGACATGACTGAGAAACTGAACAACAATAACCATATCTCAGGTGGAGGAGATTCAGCAACCAGGACAGATGAAGGCAACTCGGGACAACATGGGAAAGAGCAGGGGTGGTCTGGAAAGCCTTGGTGGCCAGTGTGGCTAATGCTCTGTGAGTGAAGGCAGAGTGAGGGGTGGTCAGCAAGGCAGGAACAGGATCCTCAGGACACGGTAAGGTGTCTGGGTTGTTTCCAAGTGTCTTTCCCGTGAGGGAGCCCCATGTTCAAACTCTGAGCTTCCACCTCTTATCCACAGCTCTGTGGTTAAGAGGGAGACCCATCTGGGTTCCCAGTATGACTGAGATCAAGGCAGGGTTGGGGGGTGATATCACCCAAGCACAG